TTGCTGTTTCAAGGGACCTGGCATATATGGCATACTGTTCTTAAAATGTTTGCTCACCTTCTTGGCACTATGTGTTTTAACCAAGGTCTCCTCTCTGAGAAAGGTTGTTTCCCCAGGTAGGGATTTTCCCCTGAAGTTAGGGAGGGAATAAAACCTCTTAACTAAGTGCCAGGCGGGTAATTAATCACTTTAACTACGAACAATCATGCTTAAGCTACATAATCTTTACTCCCTGGAATGGAGATAAGAAACGCCCTAACCTTTGTGATAGAGATTGATAGGATTGAATCAACTGGTATAAATACAGATGTAACTAGACAGCAAGAGACAGAACTTAGAACACAGAACTTAGAATACAGAGCTTAGAACACAGAACCTACAGACAGAAGAACTTCGCTGGAGAGAACATGGCAAAAGATCCTGGACTGAACCTGACTACAGAAATTGGCAAGAGAACCTGACTGGAACCTGGTGACTGAACCTGGCTGGAGAACCTGGACAGGACCTGGCTGGAGAACCTAGCGAGGGAACATGGCTACAGAACCTGGCTGGAGAACTTGGAGAACCTAGCAAGAGAACATGGACACAGAACCTGGCTGGAGATCCGAAGCAGAACTTCGCTGGAGATCCAGACCAGAACTTGGCTGGAGATCCTGGCTAGAGATCCTGGCTAGGCTGCTGATCAACTGAACGCTGTCTCCGTGTCATTCCTTCTTCACCGACTCCGTCCACACCTTTGGGGACCCCTGGACCTGCTGGGGTTGGACCCCAGCATCTGGCGCCCGAACAGGGACCCCTAGGTAAGCACCTCGCACTCGGGACGGATTGGACTCCACCGTAGGAAGAGGGTGGATAGTCTTCGCCGACTCCGTCCACACCTTTGGGAACCCCTGGAACAGGATTCCCCTGGGTAAGGCCCCCCCCCATTGAGAACCCCACACTCGGGACGGATAGGACTCCACCAGGGTACTGCAGACCCCCCTATAGAGGATAAGTAGGGTAAGAAGGTGGATAGTACAGAACTTAGATTGAGAAGATGTGCCATACTGAGTCCAAAGAAAGAAGACTCTGTATTGATCTTTAGATTAAGAAGATGTGCCATACTGAGTCTAAAGAAATAAGACTCTGTATTGATCTTTTAACACATATGCTTGCTAGCAGAGGAATTAAGGTTACTCCTAGTCAGAACGTTTTATACAAGAAGTATGTCCATGCTTTTCTGAGGAAGGAAAGGTAAATGTAATGGCATGGGAGAAGGTAGGCCCAAGGAGCCTTATCCTTAACCCCACTGCAGCCTTTCCACCCCGGGAAAGTGCAGGATTGGCAAGCTCTCCCTGGGGTGATAGATCAGGATTCAGGTAATAGCGGAAAGCGCCAATCCTACTCTTAAAATGGATACAAGAGAGCATTTCAGGTTTTTCTTTTAATGCCTGCTTTTAAAAAATAAAAAAGGGGGAATTTGCCGGGAGCTGGTCCATCCTTGCTGTTTCAAGGGACCTGGCAGATATGGCATACTGTTCTTAATATGTTTGCTCACCTTCTTGGCACTATGTGTTTTAACCAAGGTCTCCTCTCTGAGAAAGGTTGTTTCCCCAGGTAGGGATTTTCCCCTGAAGTTAGGGAGGGAATAAAACCTCTTAACTAAGTGCCAGGCGGGTAATTAATCACTTTAACTACGAACAATCATGCTTAAGCTACATAATCTTTACTCCCTGGAATGGAGATAAGAAACGCCCTAACCTTTGTGATAGAGATTGATAGGATTGAATCAACTGGTATAAATACAGATGTAACTAGACAGCAAGAGACAGAACTTAGAACACAGAACTTAGAATACAGAGCTTAGAACACAGAACCTACAGACAGAAGAACTTCGCTGGAGAGAACATGGCAAAAGATCCTGGACTGAACCTGACTACAGAAATTGGCAAGAGAACCTGACTGGAACCTGGTGACTGAACCTGGCTGGAGAACCTGGACAGGACCTGGCTGGAGAACCTAGCGAGGGAACATGGCTACAGAACCTGGCTGGAGAACTTGGAGAACCTAGCAAGAGAACATGGACACAGAACCTGGCTGGAGATCCGAAGCAGAACTTCGCTGGAGATCCAGACCAGAACTTGGCTGGAGATCCTGGCTAGAGATCCTGGCTAGGCTGCTGATCAACTGAACGCTGTCTCCGTGTCATTCCTTCTTCACCGACTCCGTCCACACCTTTGGGGAACCCCTGGACCTGCTGGGGTTGGACCCCGGCAATCCATCTCATCAGAGGTTGTCAAAACTATTAGGCTTTCCCTAGAAATATTTTTTTTGGTTTTGCTGATCGTATTTCATTCTTTTCTGCACTTACCGTTATTTTTATTTCCTTTTGTTTTCCAGTTTCTTCAGATGGGTGCTTACTTATTACTTTCAGCCTTTTATTTTTTCTTAGTTTATTGCAAGCCATAAACTTCCCTTTAAGTCTTGTTTTAGTTGTATCTCACATTATTTTAATGTAATATTTTCACTCCCATTCAGTTACATACATTTTATAATTTCCATTATGATTTTTTAATCCATCAGTTATTTAGAATGTACTTCTTAATTCCCAAACATATGGGGCTTTTGAAGTTAGCTCTGGCTTATTTGTGTTGTGGTAAAATATATATATATATATATATATACTATCTGATTTCACACTTGAAATTTCTTGAGATTCACTCGTTTTGTAAATATTCCACACATCTTGCGAAGGGGAGTATTCTGCAGCTGAAGCCAGGGTGTTCTAGAAAAGTCCAGTAGACAAGTTTCTTAATCATATCCTTATTGAATATATATCTGTTTATTCTACCAATTCCAGAGGAATGTGTTTTAAAATCGCCCGCTATAACTGTGGATTTGTCTATTTTTCTGTGTAGTTCTCTTCTTTGTGTTTCTTATATTCTAAGACTATTTGCATGCAAATTTGAAATCGTTCTATCTTTCTTGTGAATTGGACCATTTTCATTCTGAAGTGACCTTCTTTATTTCTGTGATGGCTTTTCCTGACATTAACAAACTGCATTAGCCTTCTGTTCTGTCTCTGCATGCCCTTTTCCCATCCGTTTACGGCCACTCTTTCAGTGCCCACATGTTTCGGAAGTGGCTCCTGTGGGTGTCTCTTGCAAACTGCACACAGTTAGTTGGATTTTATCCAGGTGAGAATCTTAGTATTTTAACTACAACATTGAGTTCAGTTACATTTGTTGAATTATAGTATATCTGTCATCTTTCTGGCCCATTGATTTTATATTTTTCTCTCCATCCTTGCTTACTTTAGGATTGATTGGGTTTTCTCATTCAATTTTTGCCCTCTCATAATTCGGATAAATATCATATACTGCAATTTCAATCTTTTAATGTTTACCCTGTAATGACAGTTGCATTATTAATTCATCAAAGTTTAAGTGTATTTGGTATCTATCTTCCCTTTCCTCTTGAAGAATAAGGAGCTCAGAACACTAACTCCAGTCGCCCTAGTTCTATGCCATTCTTTTGTGTAGTTGAGCTCTATTTCGATCCAGAAGACAAGGTTATTGTTTTGTATTTTCAATGTTCTCCATTCCCTGTTGCATTAGACCTCGGTCTGTGATCGGCTTCCTCCCGCCTGAAGTACCTCCGCTGAATGTCCTTCAAGGAGAATCTGCTAATGATAAAAATCTTAGTTTTTGTAAATGTTATTTCCCTTCGTTCTGGCGAGATATCTTCACTGGATATCTAGTTTTTGGAAGAAATTTTCACTGGGTATAAACTTCTAAGATGATGTTATCTTCCAATTCCTCTGCCTTCTGGCTTCCACTGCTTCTGATAAAAAGTCAAATATAAAGTTGTCATTTCTTTTTTTTCCCGTGCCCCAGGCAAGCAGCGTTTGGACGTGGTTCCGAGAGGAATGGGGAGTTGGGGAAGTTTTTAAGCGCTGGGCCGACCCAGCCCGCTGCGCCTTTTAGGAAACGCCCTCGGGCTTTGTGCGGACGCCGGTTGGAAGGACGCAGCCCGGTCGGAGGGATGCAGCTCGGAGAGGGTCGCTGCTGCGGTGCTGAGATGGACGAGGCAGAGGGTGTGGAGGGAGGAGGCCCCAGAGGCGGGACTGGGGAGGACTGCCCTGGGCGCTGGGAGCCACAGGGGCGCGGATGACTGCGGTTCCTCGCGAGGATGGATGGCGGTGCAAAGGGGAAACGTAAGGGTGGTGTGGATGGGTGGCTATAAGGAGTTTGTCCCGGACCTCAAGATCCATTCATGCCACCAAGAGCTGAACACCTAGTGTGTGCCGAGCGCCGTGGGGCCGCCAGGCAGCCAACCCCGTTCCGTGCGCACTTTCATCCGCCGCGGCCGCACCTGCCGCGAATTATTGCTTCGCCCGGGGCCCTCGAGACTGCACCCGGCACCCGGGTCTGACCCGACGCGTCTGCACTACCGCTACGGACCGACGGACAGACGGACGGATGGAACGATGTACGTGGAGGGGCCTGCTCTGCGGTGGCCGAACGGTGCGTCTCCGCAGCTTGGATCTAGGGAGACCGCGGTGCCGCGATGTCACGACAGGTGGGGAAACCTGGGCCGTGCCGCCCTTCCGCAGCGCGGAGTCCGCGGCCCCCTGCTCTTTAGTGGGAGAACCTGTGCCCGCTTCCTCATCTGCCCAACCCGGGCCGTTCCGCTTCCGGCCCATCAGAGTCCCCGGGAGGATTTTGGAAACGCATCTCGGCGTTAAGACCTCGCCCGGCTGGGAGCCGAGAAGAGCGCGCGCCGAGTTAAGTTCCGCGGGCTGGCGGCTGGGGCGCTGCGCGGACCCTGCCTCCCCGGCGGGCGGGGCGGGGCGGGGCCGGAGGTGAGGGCGGGGCTCCCGCGGGGCGGGGCCGGCGGAGAGGGCGGGGCTCCCGCGGGGCGGGGCCGGCGGAGAGGGCGGGGCTCCCGCGGGGCGGGGCCGGCGGAGAGGGAGGGGCGGGGCCTGCCGGGAGCGAGCCGCGCCCCCGCCCCGCCCACTCCCGCGCGCTCCTCCGCTCGCTCGCGCCGAGGAAAACGTTGCGCAGGTTCAAAAATGGAACGTCGTCGGCGTGAGGGAGCGCGAGGGGGTGTGCGCGCGTGCGCGTGCGCGTGCGCGCCCGGGCGAGGGTGACCGGGACCCCGCCGCCGGCCCGAGCATCGCGCGCCGCAGCCGCGGGCCCGCAGCTCCGCCCCCGGCCCGGCCCGGCCCGGCCCCGGGCCCGCTCGTCCGCCGCCCCGCATGGAGCTGTCAGCCATCGGCGAGCAGGTGTTCGCCGTGGAAAGCATCCGGAAGAAGCGCGTGCGGAAGGTGAGGCTGCCGGGGGGCGGCTCCCGGGACCCCAGTGGGGTCCCCTCGCGTTCCCAGCCCCGTCACCTCCCCGCTGGGGGCGTGGGGAGATGTGTGGTGGGCGGCCCAGGCGGCCCCGCGCGGCTGGGCCTGTCCCCCCAGCCGGTGCCTCAGTTTCCCCCGGCACCTGGGAGGGCGAGTGGAATAAAAGTTGTCGCCCCGGGATGCTGGGGGCCGCTGAGCCGCCGAACTGGAGACTGGGCTCAGACGTAGGGGTCCTGGACGCCATCCTTCCCCCACGCCCCGCTTCTGAACGTGGGGAGACTGAGGCCCAAGTCGAGGAACCGGCTTGCCTAGTGCGTTCGCGTGGGAACTGGGTCTCGAACACAGGACTCTGGACTCTTGGTACCAAGACCTTTGAAGTTGGAGGCGGGGCTCCGGGACAGCTCAGCCTCCGAAGTCGACCTGCTGGACTTGGACCTCCTCCGCTCCTCTCCGCTCCCACCTCCATCTCCTCCTCCGCCGGCGCACGCCCCTCCGGCTTCCCCGCCTCAACTTTCCGCCCCGCCCCGCCCCGCCGGGCCCGGCGCCGCCCACGGTGCGCGGCTCCGCCCCCTTCGCCGCCGAAACGCCCACCTGCCTTCGAGGACGGCCCGGCCGGCGCGGGTCCGTGCTCCCGGCTGCAGAGCGGGGTCGCCGCAGGCGGGAGCCGGGGTCGGAGTCGCCGGGGAAGCTCCCCTCCTGCGCTCACCACCGCCTTCTCCCCGCGCCTCTGTGCAGCCCCGAGGGACGCCCCCGGCCGGGCTGGGCGGGTTCAGAGGCCACCGCCCCGCTTTGACGGAGGCAGAAACCCAGGCCCAGGCCCAGGCCCAGGCCCGGGAGGTGAACGGATCAGAGTCACCGGGGAAGTCAGCGATGGAGGGAGAGCGAGGAGCCCAGGGCGGCTGGCGGCTGGCGGCCAGCCCCTCTTCTTTTGTGATAGAAAACTCAGTCTTGGCATCTTGGGCTCAAGGTCACGGTGGTCCATGAGCTTCTTTTCTTTTTTTAAAAATATATATTTTTATTGATTTCAGAGAGGAGGGGAGAGAGAGATAGAAACATCAGTGATGAGAGAGAATCATGGATCGGCTGCCTCCTGCACGCCCCCTACTGGGGATGGAGCCCACAACCAGGGCACGTGCCTTTGATGGAATCGAACCCGGGACCCTTTAGTCCACAAGCCGGTGCTCTATCCACTGAGCCAGACCGGCTGGGCCATGAGCTTCTTTTCTTCCCCATCTCTGATGGGGCTGAACACGGTCCTGAGGTTGGGCTGCCCTCCCCCTTCTCCCCTCCTCCAGTGTGTCCTCGATTTTAATTTATTCCCCAGAGCCCAGCTGGTCATGGAGTGTAGCCCAAGCAGCTGCAGTGGGTACCCTCTTCCAGGCCAGGCCGGAGGGGTAGTGCCAGCGTCATTCCTTCAGCCATTCATTCAGTACAGATTTACGGAGGATCTGTTATGTACCAGCCGCCATTCTAAGCTCCAGGGAGGGATCACTGAGCTGGCATCCTGGCAGAGGAGACGCACCGTGAATGAGGAAATAAACACAGATGCCCTCCAGCGGGCTCCATGCTGCACACCGTGAGGTGGGGGGGATGGCATTCGAAAGCATGGCCGGGCCAGGCCTCTTGGAAGAGGTGGCATCTTGGTCTCAAAGTTCCTGTGTGGACAGGAAACTTTTAAAGGCCCCTGTCAGCTCTGAGGAAGGGAGGGGTCTGCTCTGTTTTCTAACTCCTGGAGGAGTGACCATCGTGTCCGTAGGTGGAGGTTTTGTCAGCCTTCTCCGGGTCCTGCCGGGTCTTTTGAGAGACGCACTGGCCTGTCACCTCTGGTCAGAGGCAGCCTCTCGGAAGGGGCTGGTGGGATTGGACTGAGGAGTTTTCTGACCTGGAGAGTCTTCTGACCTAAAGATGGTCTTAGCACTCGGATTCTAGACACTGGGTCTTTGGTGACCCCATGTGGTCTCAGTTTCCCCATGTGTCACAGGAGCCCCAGAGGTGTCTGGGGCCGGATGCACTTCTGTGCTCTAGTAGGGAGGACATCTGGGGTGGTTGCGCAGCAGCCAGAGTTTGGGGGGTCTCTGGATTGGTGGGGGGTCTGGTGGGGGGTCTCTTGTATGTGTTGGGGGACATGTATCTGTAGAGGGGGTTAGGCCGTACTGTCCTGTGGGTGGTCATCGGCGCGGCTGTGCATCTCACTGTGTCTGCTTCTCTTTCTTCCTAGGGTAAAGTCGAGTATCTGGTGAAGTGGAAAGGATGGCCCCCAAAGTAAGGTCCTTTGTGTGTGTGTCTGCCTGCCTGCACCTCCCTCCCCCCGCCGGTGCCCTCTCTCCTGCCTGACTTTCAGCTCCAGCTGCTCTAGCTTGGCCAGCGGGCCTTGATGAGATCATCTTCTCTAGCTTTCAGTTGCCCCTCTGCCAGCTGAGGGGCTTGGAGCACATGAGGGTCAAGGCGGGCCCCAGTTGCCCTTCTCACCTCCCTCAGGTTAAGTTCCATATCTGGTTGGAGGCACCCCCCTCCCTCCCCCGCTTTCTGGCTTTTCTTGGCACCTGGGAGGTGAAGGCCCAGCATCTAGGGTTCAGAGATGCCTGCTGGAGGAGTGGAGGGGCTGGGCAGGGGTTTATGAGACTGGGTAAGACAAGGCTAGCCAGCGGCGCATGAGTCCTCAGTGACAGAACTAGGGACAGTCTGAGCCCACCTTGCCTTTGGACCGCTCTCTCCAATCTACAGAGCAGGTTCCCATTCAGTCTTGTGAGGCAGGTGGGGTAGTAATCTCTCTAAAAGATATAGAAACAGGCTCAGAGAAGGTAGGCAGCTTGCCTTGGATCACACAGCAAGTGAGGTCAGAGTTGAACTAGGCCATTTTCAGGTACCTCCTCTGTGCCTCCTCCATCTCAGAGTTGGGGGGCAGGGAGCTGGTCTAGGACCTCTCCCAGTCTCTCCACCTCTCATGCTGAGACCCAATTAGAACCTTCACACCAGCCAATCACCTCCCAGCAGGGAGTTATTTGAAGAGGGTGGGGAAGGAGGGAGTCGTGGGGCCTTCCCATTGGTCTGTAGGTGCCCCACCCCCCTGCCCTGCCAGTAGAAACTGGCTCCTGGAATCCCCCTCTACTCAGAGCTGCTGCTGTCTGTGCCAGGCACTTTCTGCAGTGCTGTGCTGAAAGGGGGTGGGGGGTGACGACTGACCTGTATTGGGTCGTGGAAGTGTCTGGGGGCATGGTGGAGAAGACAGCAGAGAGGACAATGGCCCATGCTGCCTCAGCATCCTTATGTGCAAAATGGGTTCAATAGTCAAGGCCCTGCCCCTGCCCCCACAGGCTTCTTTACCTTGTGGGGCATCCTGAAGATTCGAGTTGGTGGCTGGCCAAGCAGATAATGCATTTGTCCATTCCTCCTGTCCCTCCTGCCCCTTCCCAAACACCCCAGGACTGAAGGAGGGTCCCTTACTCTCTGGGCAGATGAGGCGTGGACTTCCAGCCTGGGTGCAGGACAGTAAGAGTGCGGGAGGACTAGACAAGGGTGCGGGGGCAGCAGGGGCATGGGCTCCCTGAGCACTGGCGCCCCTGGCTTCTGCGCCGGAAGGCATCCATGGGAGTGTGGTCCCAGCCCAGTAGCCTTCAAGGCACTGTTGGCTATTTTTCCTCCTCTAGACTCCATCTCTTGAAAGACTTCCTTCTTTAAACAGCGGCACTTATCCCACTTTTATTAATCCCAGTGAATATGTCTGCCCACCGGAGCTTCCATCAGCAGGAAGGACGCAGAGCTCTAGGAGCAGTCCCTCCCTGTTTCTGCTGGCGGAGCCCCAGCCCTGGGGCCCACTTGTTTCTTAACATGATGGGACCACTAGATGGGCTTCCATGACCTTTTATGACCCCCTCAAGGGGTTCTGGGAGCTCTGTTTGACCAGATGACAGGTGCACTTCTGGCTCCCCCACACTTTGGTCCTGGGTTCCTATCCACCTGTGAGCCCCAGGAATGTAGTTCCTAGAAAGGTCATAAGAAGAGAATTGCCAACTCCATGCAGCATGGTCCCCACTTCATGCCATTCACTGTGTCACCCACTTCACTTGGGGGAAACAGCTTCAGTCAGAGGGAGAAGCAGGAGCTCCTTTGTAACCATTTGGTCTTCCCTTTCCCCTCGCCAGGGGGTCTGGCTTGGACCCCAGCAGGTGGGGAGTGGGGAGTTGGGCAGGCTGCAACCTGCAGGCCTGGGAGCCTTGGCTAGGGCAGTGCCAGCCTCAGCGGGGAGGGGATCCAGATCCTCCCGCTCCTCACCCTGGCCAGGCAGGCCTATATTAACGACAGAAACGGCAGAATGCTCTCCCTGTGCCTGTTCAGCCACAGGCTTTGCCTGTTTTCTCTCCAAACGGCAAAAAAAATGACTGCCCTTCCTCCCCAGCAGGTGGGGCAGAGGAGCTGTCTTGCTAGTTATGGAAGGTACAGCAAATAGCACGGAAAAGGGCTGCGGTCACAGGGCAGAGGATGTTAAATCAGCTACAGGTGCTCTCAGCCCCGAAGAAACCCTCAGACATACTACTCTGATTGCAATCTGCCCAGGACTGCGGCCCTTCCTTCCGTTTTCACTAGTGAATGCTACCGCACCTTCTAGGGTGGACCGCCTCCATGGAGCTTTCCTAATGTTACTGTCAGTGGACACAGCAATAACCAGGCTGCTCAGCAGTCAGTCCCTAGTATGATCAGACATTGCCTATTGATTTATGGCAACCCATTTTACAGATGGGAAGGCAGAAATCCTCAGCAGAGGAGCCCTTGTCCAGGGCGTACAGCTGGGATGATCTGAGTGACGGGATGCCTGCCCCCAGGGCTTGCAGGTCTAGCCCCTTTGATACACAGTGGGCTCTGGCCAAGGTGACCCAGGGTGATGGCCTGATGGTCCACTCAGTGGGACGTGCTCAGGCTGTGGAGTCAGATTAGGCTGCCTTTGAACTCAGTTCTATATATTTAACAACTGTACGACCCAAGGCACAGCCCTCAGTCCCTCTGCATCCGTCGCGCTACTTGTAAAAAGGAGGCCCCGGCGCACAGAGCCCACCGCGGGCTGCCCCGGACGGCACACGGTTCCTAACGGTGTCGGAGGGACGCAGGAAGGGCGCTTCTCCCTCCTCCAGGACGGTTTGGAGCCCAGGATGCGGGCCTGGCAGCTTCTAGTGCTCTCTAGGCTTTCGAAATGGATTTAATGAATGCTTATTTGCTTTCATTATGTACCGTACTGAACGAAGTGCTGCACAGGCTAACACAGCTAATAGTCACATCAACCCTAGGGACTATTTTGGTAGCCCCCCTTCACGCAGAGGTAAAGCGACTTGAATCACTTGCTCAAAGCCACCCCTGCGGGCTGGCCACCAACCCCGCGGCTGCATCTCATTTGAGCCGCATTACTTTGGGGGCGAGGCGGGACCGGGCCTTGGTCAGTGGGGCGCCCCCCCCCCCAGCATAGCCGGAGTCTGCGCACACGGGGCTGGAGCAACTGCCGCTGCCTGTTTACCCAGCCGGCCCGGCAGCGGTCACGTGGCCGTGTTTACCTCCCAGCGGGCACGCGCCGTCCCCGCCCCCACCCCCCATTGGTTGGCCCGGTCATCCGGACGCGCCTCCTGCCTCCTGCGTGCGCGCGCGCGGCTCCGGTGCTGCGGAGAGAGGGCGGGCGGGGCCCAGTGGTCCCCCGCCTCCCACGGAGCGCCCCGTTCCCGCCCAGCTCGTACCCAGTTCCCCAGCCCGCCTACTGTCGCCTAGGTTGTGGACCAAGCCGCCTCCTGCCCTTGCGCCCGGCTGTTCCTGAGTCGGGTTTGCCTCTGGATCACCACTGAGGAGGGGCCCTGTGGCCTCCATTTTGGGGTGCCCCGGTGTTCGACAGATACTTGTGTAATCCACCTCCCCTTGCTCGCCCTTCTCACGGGGCAGGGCCAGGCCTCCTGCTGCCAGGTCTGACCCTGTGCTCTTGCCTCAGGTCCCACGGATGGATGCCCCAAGCTAATAACAGGCCCCCCTGAATCTACCAACCTTTTCCGTGCACCTATTGTGTGCCAGGCCCCCAGGTCAGACACTGAGGACTTGGTTAGTTAGGCAGTGCCCCTTTCCCAAGGACATCCCAGCTCAGTGCATGACATGTGAGGTACCTGAAGGTAGAGCGTGGCGGAGATTGAGCTGAGTTCCAACCACAGACTGCCCACTCGCTGTCACAGTGGCCTCGGCAAGATGCTACCCTCGGGCCCAGTGTCTTCATCTATAAAATGGGTCACCTACCTCTTCCGGGTGTTGAGAGGAATGGATGAGTCCCCGGCAGTAGTCTGCGCTCACTCCTTGCTGTTGATGGCTGTGGTGCTGCTAGTGATTCTAAGATGAGGAAACTGGGATCCAGAGAAAATTAGGGACTTGCCAGGAGCCTAACAACACTGCAGCAACGTGAACAAAACTGGGTGAGGAGGTGGGGAAGTGGGCAGGGCAGAGAGGACTAGAACAAGGCAGGGACATTTCAACAGCCAGAAAAAGAGGAGGCAGCCACAGCAGGAACACAAAACTCCCCCTATAACTAGTTTCAGCTGAGAAAACCCAACCTTGAGGAAATAAAACTATGAGCCTCTGGTTGGTCATAGTTTGGGTTTTACCAAAATATACATTTAACCAGTTTTAGTTTCACTTTCTTTTCTTTTTTTTTCTTTTTAGTTTCACATTTCTTCGGGGTGAAACTGCAGTGGCTTCTAGAGCCATTCCCAGAGCACCTGGTGGCTGGGCCTGGGCTGAGTGCTTGGGGAGGGGTTACATCTGCCCACCAGGGCGCCAGCTGCATTCAGTCATTATGGCAGGTGCCCAGGGCAACGAGGGGAGAGGGGATGAGAGGACCGTTCGTCCTGGGAGTGGCACAGCTGGGAGAGGGGCGACAAGAACCTGGCTCTTGAAGAATGAGTAGAGTCCTCTGGAGGGCTGTCCACGCGGACCGCATAGCGTGTACAAAGGAAGAGAGGCGACCGTGCCTGCTCAGGCTGAGCATGTGGCACTGGGTATGGCTATGTGGTCCTCAGGGCACGGCCCTTCGTTGCTGAGTTACGGGCCGGACGGGCGACACGAAGTAGCCGTGCAGCAGTGTCCGTGGAGAGAAGGAGCCGAGGAGCCTGTTCTCGGGCAGCTTGTTGTTTGTGTCCGGACTGGACACCTGTAGGTTTCACAGTCCCAGGACCGTGGAAGATGAAGTTTCGGCTTAGCTTGTGTGGAGGCCACAAGGCAGGGCCATGCCCAGCCTCCTTCTGCTTCGTAACCCTCCCCTGAGACCTGCTCCTCTCCCTTCTTACCCAGCGGAGCTGGTGCCGCCTCCGCCAGGATCACAGTCCAGCGCTTAGGTTTTGTCTGTGCATGTGCATGTACATGTGCACAGACACCCAAAGGCATAATTGTACGTTTGTGTGTATATTTATTTGTATGCATGCACATATGCACACATACATGTTTTAAAATTTTAATTTTTAGGCACTAGCATCTGTTTATAGTGAGTGGTACTGTTTTATCCAATTACAAAAGTCATATACAGTTAGTTTTTTAAAAAATTTAATAGATGAAAAAGTGAGCGGCTTAAAGGCAGATTCTAAGTAAATAACGGAGCAGTGGAACACGGGTGGCTGAGCTCAGGAAGTGCCGCGCCATCTCAGTCCAGGCCTGTCCCTGCAGGGAATACGCTCTGGTCCGGAGTGGAGGAGATCCCCTGGGGAAAATCCTAGTGGGTCCTAGCCCTATGACCGGTGCTAGACATTTACCAAATTCCTGCTGTGTGCCAGGCCCTGCCACCAGGCACTTCACAGCTGGCCTCGATGGCACAGATGTGCGCCCAGAAGGAAGGGAGCAGCTCAGCCTGACAGAGGCTGTGCTGGGTCTGGGGTTTGAGAAAGGAGTGGGGATAGCAGCAGTGATAAACACAGAGCACTTCCTGTGTGTCAGGCCCTGCTCTAAACACATAGACACTTGATGCTTTTTCCAGCACAGAGTCTTTCGCACATGGGGAAATCGAGGCACAAAGACCTTAGGGAAATCGTTCAAGGTTTTACAGCTTCCAAGGGCAGAGCTGGGATTTGAACCCAGGCAGCCTGTCTCAGAGCCCCTGCCCTTTATTACGGGCTCTTACCTCTTCTAGGAAGGGCCTGTGGGACGTACCGCCCTGCCCTCCCCTGAATTATATCCCATGAGCTGCTGAGGTGGACATAGGTCTCATCACACCTTTTGTAGGTAGTATGGTGAGTGCTCAGAATGAGGGGGTTCTGGTGTCATTGGAACCCCTAGGAGGCCCTGACCTCGCTTCACTGGCCTGGGACAGCTCTGAGGAGTAGGTGACAATTTTCTGGACCAGGAAGGGGCGAGGGCCTGCAGACAGTGGGCCCTGGCGGAGCAACTGTGGCTTCTGTGAATGCAGGGGAGCGGGGGGCAGCTCTGACCTGTCGTTTCTCTCCCAGGTACAGCACGTGGGAGCCAGAGGAGCACATCCTGGACCCCCGCCTGGTCATGGCCTATGAGGAGAAGTAAGGGGCTCCGCCTGCTCGGGCCGGGCGGTCCACAGGCCGCTCGGGGTTTCCTAGGCAGCCTGCTCGGCCTTGGCTCTGAGCAAGGCCCGGGCACGGGCGGGGGAGGGGTCCTGGCAGGGACACTCCCCTCGTGTCTGCAGCTGGGGGAGGGTGGTGGGCACCAGCTCCAGGGCACCGGGGGCCCTGGTTACCTTCCTGTTGCTGGGTGATGTTGGCCACTTCCCTCCCCTCCCCAGGCCTCGGTCTCTCTGCTGCCACGGGGCCACCCCAATAACTCCTGCTGCGGCTTCTCCATAAGGTAGGGGTTTCAGTCACCGTGATGAATGTGAAATGTGTCCTAGTGATGCCCTACGTGTGAGGAGCAGCAATATCAGTAATGCCCAGGCAGCCCTGGGGGAGAGACCAGAGACACGCACCCTGGAGGTCCCTTAGCAAGAGAGGACCACCTGATGAAACTCAGGGAAGGCCTGTGAGACGGCTGGTTCTGGTCCTCCCCACTCTGCCCCCTCCTAACTGAGTGGCCCTGGGCAAAGCCACCAGGGTCTCCATCTCCCACGTCTGCCAGCGCTCTGCTGAGATTCCAGGGTGGTTAGTGATTGGCAGCTCCTCCCATTCCCATGAGGGCTGCTCTCAGCGGGGAGCCTTGGACAGCAGGTCCTCTCTGCTGGTGTGGGGCCCTGTGAGCAGATCCAGCCATTCCCTCTGCTGTGAGGCCAGAGTTACTGAGCTCCTGCCAGCAGGCAGCCCGCAACCTGCAGCTTCTCCCTCACACTGACCTGTCAGTGCAGACTCTTTCCTGAAATCAGTCCCTCTGGTCACCTCCTGAGGCAGGGAGGAGGGTCATCTGACAGCTGGGGAAACTGAGGCCCTGAGGAGCTGTGGGACTTGTCCAGCAGCCCCCCAGCTGGGAAAGAGCCCGGCCCAGGCTCCTGACTGTACAGGGGAGGCCCTTCCTTCCCCCCTCGGGCCCCCTTCTCCCCTCTCCCCCCAGGACGTCTCCTGCTGCCGACTCGAAGGACCAGTTCTCACTGCTCCTGCCTTTAAAGATGAGGGTGACCTGTCCCACAGCTTCTTGCTGGTCCCCAGTGCTCGTGCGGCCTTGACCAAAGTGGTGTGGCCCTGGGAGAGAGTCGGGCAGCATCACAGGCCTGGGTTAGAGTCCTGGCACCTGGCTCTGCCACCCACCCGCTGTGAGGTGCCAGGCAAGGCCTTTCCCTCTGAGCTCAGCCTCCCCATCTGTGCGATGGGTATCAGGGGCCGACCTTTGGGGCTGCTTGGGAAGCAAAGGTGTGTGAAAGCCCTCTGCAGCCCGTGCGTGTGGGCTCACACGTGTGAGTATCTCCTGATGGTAATTAGGGGTCAGCCAGTCATTCTTTGGTTTCTTCAGCAAGTCTTGATTGAGATCACAGGATGTGCAGGCACTGTTCCAGCGCTGGGGTCCCAGCCAGGCACAGCAGCCACCAACGCCCCTGCCCCATGTGGCTCACATCCGTGTGGAGACACGCAATAAACAGTGCTCTAACATACGTGTACCGTATCAGAGGCTGACCCCTGCTGCAAAGATAGGGAGAGGGGTGCTGGTTCCTGGGGAGTGAGCCGGGGGTGTCTGAGCAGGACCTGAGCGAAGTGAGGGAGGGAGCCCGGTGGGTCCTTTAGAGAACACCCGGGTGAGGCACAGGGAGTGCAGAGGCCCTGGGGTGGGGGCCTGTGTGTGAGGAGCAGCCTGGAGCCAGTGTGGCTCTGAGTGTGGCGCCCGGAGTGGGTGAGCTGGAGGCTGTGGGGTGAGGGAGGGTGGGGACAGTGTGGGAGGCAGGGGCATCTGAAGGAGGGGGTGGCACAGCTCAGGGAGGGCAGCGTGAGTCCTGGTAGATGGCTGGCGTGCTGCTTTGAGTCAGAAGTCGATAGTTCAGGACAAACTCGGAGACTTCTGCAGGCCCACTGTGTGACACTCTCACTCCTTCTCTCAGTCTTGGTGAAAAGGAAGTAAAAGGCAGTGAGGCCCATTTAACACGTGCTTTGCAGGGTTTTAATGAGACCCAGGGGGCCAGTGAGGGGGTTTCACTGGGGGACCTGCACACCAGGGGCCACTGAGAGGGCACTGGGCTTGCTGGGGCCCTGACTCCTTGGCCGTCTCAGCTCTTTAGCCCTGGACACAAATGGTCAGAGCGTCTGACAGATACCAGGCTCTGAGTTGGTAAGGTTGGACAGAATGCAGGCCCCTGCCTCACCCTCTCACCTGCACTCCCTGCAGTTTGAAGACAAGAAAGGGGGAGGGGCTGCATATTAGGAGCCAGAATCATATGGCCTGGGCTCCAGGCCTGTCCTGCTGATCCTGCCTGGGACCCTAGGCCTGACCTCCCCGGTTTGGAACCAGAGCTTAGCATTTTCACCAGTGGCGGGAGGTGTAACAATGTATGTTACTTAACCTCTCCGTGAGGGTAGTAATAGTACCTCCCTCGTAGGATGGTGTGAGGGTTAAAGCTTTAGAGCAGTGACTTGTCCAGTGTCCAGTATGTGATCATCATAATCAATAAGTCATGTAAATGTAATTGACATGCTGTTATTTTCCCCTGAGGCCCTTCTCTTTCCGCCTCTGCTTCCCCCCCTTCCTCTCTCTCCTTTTTCTCCCCTTTCTCTTCTTCCTCTTTATTACTTTAGCCTCCTACTTTCCGTTTTCATAAATACCAGGGACATCTCTCACTCCTCTTGAGAGCCTAGTGATGAGCTGAGAAGGGAGCCTCTCGCTCCAGACAAGGACCCTGAGGCCAGAGAAGTGACCAGCACAGCCTCCTGTGGGTCAGTGCAGAGCTGGGCCTGGAGGGGGCGCCTGGCCCCCAGCACTGGGCTCTGAGAGAAGCTTGTCAGCGTGAAGGCTGGGAGGGCTGTCCTGGTGAGCTGCCGGGAGCGGAGCGTGTCACAGCGCCCTGTGCTGCTCCCAAAGGCTGCTTCTAGGTCCCCAGCGCCATGGGAGGGAGGGCTCCACCACACATGGCCCCTGCTGTCACCAGGTCTCACTCTCTGGAGTTTGATTCACAACATCTCAGAATGTTTCTCAGGGCGAACTCCTGCCCTCACATTCTACGACCACGTGGCCTCTTCGGCCCGTTCACACTTTCTGAGTGTGAAGGAAGTGAAATGGGCAGAAGGAAGTGACTGGGTTTTCCCACCACTCGGGCCCTGTCGGCAGCTCTGTGGTGACTCTGGTGTGTGTTGTGTGTGGCTTTGTTTGCAGCCTCACGTGTGCCTGTGTTTTGCACTTGGGATTTGAAAAGGCCCCCAGCCGTCGGTCATCTCCTAGGGACTCAGCACAGGCTAGTTTCTCTCCCCTTCCCCGGATCAGACAGTAAGAGAGTTGGGCGCTGTTCTCCCCACCAGTCACGCAGATCCCAGATGGGGGCGCAAAGGTGGGAGGGATCCTTCCCGTTCTCGTCAGTGCCCTGGGGCACTCAGGCAGCCTTAATTGACAGGTTCTGCACGACTCTCCAGAGTGGAAACTAGAACTGTACTCTTTGGGGGGAGGTTGCTCCCAGTAGCATGGGGAGCAGAGCTCTGGCGTGACCTGGGCCCAGTCAAGAGCCACACGCTTTCGGAGATTCCACCCGTGGCTGTGCTGCTGCCTGGGCAGCTGGGAAGACCGAGGCTTCGGGAGTTCAACATGTGGCCCCGTTGTCGTGGCCTAAAGAGAGCAACAGGGAGGAGGCCCTGTCCTGGCACTGGGGGGTGGTCTGTGAAGGATGCCCCTCCCCCATAGACTGTGGAGGGCAGGGTGGAGGACCCCTACTTTCCCTTAAATGTCACCAGTGTTTCCTTTTCTTCCTCCATCTGCTCTGCACCCCAGGGAGGAGAGAGACCGAGCGTCGGGGTATAGGAAGAGAGGTCCGAAACCCAAGCGGCTTCTGCTGCAGGTAACCGGCCGGCGTTGGTGCCCACCCACCGGTCCCCGTGCTCCCCCGCCATTGCCCAGCTAGTTGAGCTGAACCGCTCCCCCTCCTCAGCCCGCCCAGGGTGCTGTGAGTGGGAGGCACTGGGGGGGTAGGGCCCATGGGAGTAGGGGGGGAAGTCGGAATGTGGGGCTGGTGCTGCAGGAAGTGGGAGGATGCTGGGGGGAGGAGAGTGGATGGATGGCTCATGGGCTCCTAGGACTTTAGAAGCTTAGAACTTTGTAAGCGAGCTTTTCTGATATGCAGAATCCCTACAACACAAAATTATAATATTTGAGGTCCTGAGAGACAAAACTTTAGAACTGAGGAAGCATGAGAGCCTGGCATTTTAGAATTCCAGCAAAGGCGCCTCGGCATCCTGGACCCACCGTCGGGGAAAGTCCTAGAAAGGTGTCACCCTTTCCGGTCCCTGCCGCAGGTGGGTCTAGACGCTGTGGCATCTGGTGCCCAGGTCTTGGGGGCACTGTGCTGACCTCCCTGCTTTGCACTGAAAGGAAGGTGGAGTCTGAGTAACGCAGTTTTGTGGTTTGAGGCCATCATGCTAGGTGATCGGCGTCTCAGAGCCCGAGTTTTCTCCTGTGAAAGCGGAATGGTGGGACACCGCTCTCCTTCACTTACAGCCCATCCAGGGACTCGGAACCAAAAATAAGTCTTCTTGGTCCGCGTGCAGGTGCGTCAGGTCCAGCCGCCTGTCCGCTCTTGATTGTAGACCCCCCGAGGCTTTTGCAGACAGATGGCCTCCCTCACGCAACGGGCGTGTTCCCTGGGCTCCGCATCACTGGGTCCCAGGAAGGACAGGGACGCCTGTCAGACGTCTCCGTGCTCAGCTCTGCGCTCAGTGCCCTTCACAGGGGACACACACCTCCAGGGAAGGGGTATTATCATCTGTGTCTGTGTAACGATCCCCCCTAACTAAGCGGCTTGAAGCAGCAAACACTGTGATTCCCATAGTCTCCGTGGTCAGGAGTCCAGGACTGCATTCGCTAGTTCTTCAGTGATTCTAGTTGGGGTGCAGCCATGATGTCGGCCAGGGAGCTGCTTCCGAAGTGCTCCTCACAGCAGCGCTCACGGGCGTGTCAGATGTTGCAGGGCCTGTTCTTACCCTGTGGACCTCCCAGAGGGCTGCTGAGGGCCTCACGGTGGGCCACTGGCTTCCCCCAGAGTGGGCGATCCAAGCAAGAGGGAGGAAGGAGCACAGTGTCTTTAACGACCTCGCCTTGGCAGTCCCACCGCACTGTTCAGCGCCCCCCCCCCCCCCCCCCCCCCGCGAGGGGACTCATGGGTGTGCGGTCCTGGGGCGGGTATGTTGGGGCCGTCTTGGAGGCTGGCTACTACAGCTGAAGCTTGGGGAGGCCGGTAGTCTACCCAGGGTCAGAGCTGTAAAGCCCAGATCTGACTGCTGCTCCTGGGTCCCTGATAGCAGTGCTCTCCTGGTGAGGCGGAGAAGGACAAAGATGAGTCCACCTGGCAGAATTGTGGGAGGGTTTACTGGGCTTGTGGTGGCCTGCAAGCCAGGGTGAAGGGTTTTGATAAAGGTACATACAGGATAAGCCCTCCTTGCATGGCAGTATTTTCCCAATGCCCTCCCAATTCTGCCGTCCTCCCATCACCAAGACAACCTGCACCCCACACCCCCAGAATGAGCATTAGCAGGTAGGACTAGAACGGAGCCTGCACCTGTGCTCTTTGCTCCCACCTGGAGGTGTCTGGCCATGGGTCCCATCTGATGGCCTCGCTCTCTTCCGGGAGCTCTTTCCTCTGGTGAAAGGTGGCAGTAGAAGGTACTACCCCAGAGTTATCTAGGCCCTCCCAACATTTTAGCACAAGGATCTTTCCTGGACTTGTGTAAGTTACCCCAAAGCAATAAGACAAGTCCCCAAATGGCAAAACACCAGCCGTGAGAAGTGGAGGAACCTTCCTTTCAGCCCATTTTGACAAGAATGAGGCAGGGTGTCAACAGAGGCCTAGGCCTGCATACTCACTCTGCTTCCTGAACCCAGATGGATTTCTCGTGCCTCCTGTGCATCCTCCGCTGTGTACCCCAGACCTGTGCCTGTGGCCTCCGACCCTGAGCCCCTCACAGCCCCCAGGGAGATGAGGCTGCCCTGTGGGGCTATAGGGCTGGGACTGGCTAAGGACGGCTCTCTAGGCTGGGTTGGGGTGGGGTGATGGCTGCCTCTGGGCCATGAAACATGGGGAAGGGCACTCCGGCGGGAGGAACAGTATGAGCAAAGGCGCGGCAGTGGGTGGGAGGGCTGGGCTGACCCGCCGTGCCCTGGCTTGCCCCCGCAGCGGCTGTACAGCATGGACCTGCGGAGCTCCCACAAGGCCCAGGGCAAGGAGAAGCTCTGCTTCTCCCTGACGTGCCCACTCGGCAGCGGGAGCCCCGAGGGGGTGGTCAAGGCGGGGGCGCCTGAGCTGGTGGACAAGGGCCCCTTGGTGCCCACCCTGCCCTTCCCGCTCCGAAAGCCCCGAAAGGCCCACAAGTACCTGCGGCTCTCACGCAAGAAGTTCCCGCCCCGCGGGCCCAACCTGGAGAGTCACAGCCATCCACGGGAGCTCTTCCTGCAGGAGGCACCGGCACCGGACGTCCTGCAGGCAGCCAGCGAGTGGGAGCCTGCTGAGCAGCCCCCCGAAGAGGAGGGTAAGGTGCCCAGGCCCAGAGACCCTCGGGGCTGGAACCATCCCTTGAGTCATCAGGTCCAGTTGGCCTAATGCCCGGAGCGGGCATGGGGTACTCTGGAGGCCACACAGCCTGCAAGGACCCGGGCACCCAGCCCAGGGCTTCCTGTGGTGCTGCCCAGGATGAGTTCTGGTCCTGCCGGGAAAGAAAGGTCATGACCTCCTCCCATGTGTCCAGCCCTGCGCTGGCCTGGCCTGGCTGGAGGCTCAGAGGACAGCCTGTTGCGGGGGGTGGGGAGTAGTCCGCATGCTGCCACCCGTTCCCACCTTCCCGCCCTGTTGTCAGCGCTGTCCTCCATCTGTCCGTCTGTCTTTCTCCCATGGCAGTAGCAGATGCAGACCTGGCCGAGGGACCCCCTCCCTGGACACCCGCGCTCCCCACAAGTGAAGTGACAGTGACAGACATCACCGCCAACTCCGTCACCGTCACCTTCCGCGAGGCCCAGGCCGCTGAGGGCTTCTTCCGAGACCGAGGCCGAGACCGAGGCCGAGACCGAGGCCGCAGCGGGAAGTTCTGAGTCCCCGTTTTTACTTCTTAGACTGTTTTCTTTTGGGCTTGGGGTGGGGACTTCCAGAGGGGAGGAGGGGTCTAGGGAGGGTAATTATTTTATTTAAAAATACGAAATAGGAGGGGGAAGATCCCAACACTCTCCCACCATCCTCCCCTTGCTCTGTGGGGGATGTTTACAGAGAGGCCTCCGGGTCTGTTTCTGGCAGGGGTGGGTACCTGGCACTGCTCTGTCAGTTTGGGTACCATCTCCAGAGCAGAATGGGGACAGGGCCACCCCTGCACACCTCCATCACCCTTCTCCCCAGACACAGAGCTGGCCCTGGGAACCAACCGCAGGAGTCCAGCCTCCCCCTCACGGCGCCCAGCCCTGAGGCTGATTTTGCCTTTGCCTCTCTGGCAGAAAGGGGTCTGTATTTTTATCTTTGCACTCCAGCTTGCGGTGGGATGGCGGCTCCTTTGCCCAGAGGGAGGGTCAGAGAGAAGGGCCAAAGGAAGGGGTAGAGATGGCTGCAGTGTCCTGAGTCCGTACCCTTCAGAGAGCCTCTACTTTCCCTGGGGCAGCTGCCAGCTGAGGCCTCCTGCTGAGAGCTTCCCCAGTCCCACCCTGCCCTCCTGCCCCGTGAGTGTGTTCATGTAACTGCAGACGTGTGCGATGGGTCCTGCAAATCTCCTGTTTAGAAACCTTATCAGGTGAATGTGAGGTGATCACAGCACAAAAGAGCTTGTCACGGGCACCACACACTCACCCCACCTGGCATAGCCCATCACGTGACCAGATCTGGCCCTACTCCGCTCTTTGTTTGCTGGAAGCTGTCGGCAGGGGTCTGGCATGGCAGATGTCCTCTGCTGCTCTGGGCAGACGTGTGTGGCTTCGCCCGGCAGGCATGGGAGCGTCTGCAGGTGGGCCTGCGCTTCCTCCTGGGGGCTCTGTTCTCTCTGACTCAGGTGACCTTTCAGCCCTTCCCACTCCCCTCTTCTGCCCTCCCCTCAGCTCAGCCAATGGTGGGTGTGGGTGGTCAGGGAGGGAGGGAGTCCCACCACCTTCTCAGGGCAGCCTTAACTCCCTCCATCCCTCCTCCTTGCATCCTGTGCCCCCTCTGCACCCCACATGCCGAAGCTGGGCTGGCCTGTGTTCTGTGGTGGGGCCTCTGCCGTGTCTTCCTGCAGTCAGGGTGCGGGGGGAGGGGGGGGCGGGAGGGAGGAGGGGCAGGCTGTGCACAAGCCCAGGCCGCCTCCAGCACAGGCTGTGTCTGCCAGCGGGAGGGCACTCGCTTTCTAGTTTGCACCAATGTGCCCTGTGGACTGGTAACTCCCCTGGCAGTGAGGAGTGGCTTCCGCCCCATCCCAGCCCTGTAGGCAGAAAAGGCCACAAGGCGGGGGTGGGGGTGGTGGTGGGGGGGGGACAGGCGGGAAGTGCAGGAGGGCAAGTACAAGCCTGGCCCTCCACCCTCCGCCATTCTGCCTGCCCTCCAGGGCCGCCCTCCCGCTGTGTCCTGAGGCAGGATAGGGCTATTCCTTCCCCAAGCCCCCCTCCCCAGTTCCCAAACCAAAGACACCGCGCCCCATTTCTGTGTTGGGTGCCCTGTTGGCAAGATTCTCAAATCCCTGATCTCTCTGCCCTTCTTCCTTATTTCTTCACTGTCCAGGGTCAATTCAGTGCTTCCATTGGGGACAGTCCCCTCTGGGGGTGACTTGATTCACCCCAGCCTGGGGAGTTGAATCTAGAGGTTTAAGTGGGGGTGAGTCAGGGGAAGGAGGGGCAGCTGTGCCCCTGGGAGGGAAAGGCAGCTGGAGTTGGGACCTTCCCAGGACAGAGGCTCCCAGCCCAGGCGAGGCGTGGAGGGGGGTGGGCTGGGAGGTCTCTAGTGGAATGCTGTTTGCTCATGGCTTTGGGACAGGCTGGCAGCTTCTAGTATAAGTCATACTCATTCCCCAGGGGACACAGGACCTCGTCCTGGCTCATGGGCCCTCCCAGAGAGTGTGTTAGGTCCGCACCACCAGGAGCCAGGCCAAGAGACAGAGTTTAAGAATGTTTACGTTCTCGCCACGGGCTGAGCCCCGTATGCCCGCGTCAGCGAGGGAGTGTTTGTGTTCCCTTATACAGGCCGGGGTCAGGGCTGCTGCCTGAGCAGGATGTCCTTGGAAGACAGCCGGGTGTCTGGGGAGGGGGCACGTGTCCACCAGACAGAGGGAGCGCCGGAGTCGGCGGGGAGTGGATCTTATTTTGCTTCTGCAGGTGCAGGCTGTTTGCTTCAAGCTATGGGAAAACACTGTAACAACATCTCAGAAAACATGGCCAAGGAGGGGCCGGGCAGTGCGTCCCGATAAGCTGTGTGTGTAGAATTTGCAGAATCGGGGTGTGGGGGCCTGTTGTGGAATGAGGCAGCAGCAACCAAACCCTTCTTGCCTCTGACTCAGCTCTTTCTGGCCCACGGGTGTCCTGTGTCTCAGAGAGGGCTGACCCTGCAGAGCCTGTTCCCTGAGGGCTGTGGCCTGTTAGGACCCCGCCCCCAGCACATAGACCTCAATGAGGGGTTGGGTGTGGCCTCCTCCCAGCCCTGAGTGTCCCCGCCTCCCACCTCGCCTCCCTTCCACACTGAAGGCCAGTACTCCAGGGAGTGGATGCTTCGAAAGATTGGACCTCCTGCCTCCCTTGGTCCACCCCCACCCATTTGTACTCTCCCCCCGCCCCCCCTCGTGGGATCGGGCAAGGCCACTCCTCATGCAGCAGCCGAGCCCATGATCATCACCCCATAGAGCCCGTTGCCAATGTCCCCTCCTCCCCTGCTGGGGAAGACGCTATGCTTCCGCGTAGCTTCGCTTTAGAAGTGGCCAGCCTGGCCTCCAGGTCTCAGCACAAGAACGCTTCCTTTGCACAGAATGAGCAGTGAGCTTTGTTCAGACGAAATGAATGTATTGGGAGGGGCTGGCACGAACCGTCCCCAGCACCTGCCTCGTGTGAGTGGGTGCGTGCTGGGGGAGCCGGAGTGGATGCAGAGCTCGGGTTTATTTTTGTACTGATATTGGTAACAGACTGTATAGCATCTATTTATTTAGATGATTTATCTGGTAAATGAGGCAAAAACTATTAAAAACACATTAAAGATGATTTTTAAAAAGGTGATTGGGCATTTGCTTCCTCCTTTGATGGTGTCACAGCTATGCCGGGGAGAGCTCCGCCCTCAGGGCCCAGCCTGGGGTTTAGGTCGCGGGTCTGCCCGGGCTGAGCATGAGCACGGACAGGTCCATTTTCTGTGGCTCCAGATGCAGAGTGAAGAGGAGGACGGTGATGGGTGGGGAGTGGTTGGGAACTGGAAATGAGTGCAGATGGGTGCGTGCCCACCTTTGTGGTCAGGGTTCAAAGGAGGGGTGGGCGAGGTGGGTTTGCCAAGGGTGTGCTTCTGTTGCCTCTCAGTTCGTGGCAGGTGGGTGGGTGGGGGGGCAGCGGCTGGCCTTGCTGGCAGCTCCTAGGTAACTCCCTGTAGAGAGTGGGGACTGAGCGTGCCTTGGCCTTAGCTTTGAGCATTGGCCCTAATTTTGGATCCTCAAGAAAAGTCCCGTGGGCCCCCTGGTACAAAAGCCCGCCCTGCCCCTCAGGCATGTTTCCTGGGCACAGCCTTCTGCGCGGGCACGACTGCGTGGTTAGGGTGGCCGCTGGCCGGAGGCAGTCCTCTCGTCCTCGGCTCTTGTCTCCTTGTAGGAGGAATTTGAACAGGAGACAGCACGCAGCAGCCACAGCAGGTGCAAGTTTACTTGCAGGAAAGGAATGAACTCACACACAGTCTTAGCAGAACACAGCCAATGTAGGTGCCCCACTGAGGTGGGGGTTTGGGGGACTTATACCCCCAGGCTGGAGTGTCCCTCAGCAAGTCTCCCCTCCCTCATTTCTCAAAAACATATACGTCTCCAAGCGATAGGCTCCTTCGCCCCGGTGAGATGCACTCCTCTCCTCACAGACGGGTCTGTCGCCTTCATTCTCTCATTTTGTTTGTCTTGTCTCACACGTATCCCCTCCAAGCCCCAACGCCCTACCCAGCTCTAACAGGTGGAGACGAGGACTTAGGTTATAGTTAGTAACACCAGGTGCGTGGCCAGGAGGTCCTGAGCCAGGAATGTGAACCGTGTCTCCTACAGCGGCCCCCATACCCACGTTTTACTTTCCATGGTTCAGTTACCCACAGTCAACCATGGTCCGAGAATAGTAAATAGAAACTTTCTGAGATAAACAATTCATCTCTGCTGGTGTGGCGCAGGGGCTGAGCCTCACCCATGAACCAAGAGGTCGCCGGTTCGATTCCCAGTCAGGGCACATGCCCAGGTTTCTGGCTTGATCCCCAGCAGGGGTCATGCAGGAGGCAGCCAATCGATGTTTCTATCTCTGTCTCCCTTCCCTTCCTCTCTCTCAAATCAATCAAAAAATATTTTTAAAGAGAGAAATAAACAATTCATATGTTTGAAACTGCCTTTCTGAGTTGTGTGATGATGTCTGGTCTTCCCTGTGTGCCATGGCCAGAACAGGATCACCCCTTGGTCCAGTGCTTCTGCCCTGTGCATGCAGGCAGCCACCCTCCCCCACACGAGAGTCACCTGGCTGTCTCCGTGACGTCCAGGACTAGGACACAGGCCCTGGTGGGATGTGACCCCAGCAAGCCCAGTGCCCTCTCAGTGCCCCCTGGTGTGCAGGACCCCCCACCCCCCAGTGGAGCCCCCTCCACAGCCTCCTGAGTCTCATTAAAACCCTGCAAAGCACGTGTTAAATGGGCCTCACTGCCTTTTACTTCCTTTTCACCAAGACTGAGAGAAGGAGTGAGAGTGTCACACAGTGGGCCTGCAGAAGTCTCCGAGTTTGTCCTGAACTATTGACTTCTGACTCAAAGCAGCACGCCAGCCATCTACCAGGACTCACGCTACCCTCCCTGAGCTGTGCCATCCCCTCCTTCAGATGCCCCTGCCTCCCACACTGTCCCCACCCTCCCTCACCCCACAGCCTCCAGCTCACCCACTCTGGTCGCCACACTCAGAGCCACACTGGCTCCAGGCTGCTCCTCACACACAGGCCCCCACCCCAGGGCCTCTGCACTCCCTGTGCCTCACCCGGGTGTTCTCTAAAGGACCCACCGGGCTCCCTCCCTCACTTCACTCAGGTCCTGCTCAGACACCCCCGGCTCACTCCCCAGGAACCAGCACCCCTCTCCCTATCTTTGCAGCAGGGATCAGCCTCTAATATGGTACACATATGTTAGAGCACTGTTTATTGCGTGTCTCCACACGGATGTGAGCCACATGGGGCAGGGACGTTTGTGGCTGCTGTGCCTGGCTGGGACCCCAGCGCTGGAACAGTGCCTGCACATCCTGTGATCTCAATCAAGACCTGCTGAAGAAACCAAAGAATGACTGGCTGACCCCTAATTACCATCAGGAGATACTCACACGTGTGAGCCCACACGCACGGGCTGCAGAGGGCTTTCACACACTTTTGCTTCCCAAGCAGCCCCAAAGGTCGGGCCTTTATACCCATGGCACAGATGGGGAGGCTGAGCTCAGAGGGAAAGGCCTTGCCTGGCACCTCACAGCTGGTGGGTGGCAGATCCAGCTGCCAGGACTCTAACCCAGGCCTGTGATGCTGCCTGACTCTCTCCCAGGGCCACACCACTTTGGTCAAGGCCGCACGAGCACTGGGGACCAGAAAGAAGCTGTGGGACAGGTCACCCTCATCTTTAAAGGCAGGAGCAGTGAGAACTGGTCCTTCGAGTCGGCAGCAGGAGATGTCCTTGGGGGAGAGGGGAGAAGGGGGCCCGAGGGGGGAAGGAAGGGCCTCCCCTGTACAGTCAGGAGCCTGGGCCGGGCTCTTTCCCAGCTGGGGGGCTGCTGGACAAGTCCCAGGGCTCCTCAGGGCCTCAGTTTCCCCAGCTGTCAGATGACCCTCCTCCCTGCCTCAGGAGGTGACCAGAGGGACTGATTTCAGGAGAGAGTCTGCACTGACAGGTCAGTGTTAGGGAGAAGCTGCAGGATGCGGGCTGCCTGCTGGCAGGAGCTCAGTAACTCTGGCCTCACAGCAGAGGGAATGGCTGGATGCTGCTCACAGGGCCCCACACCAGCAGAGAGCACATGTTGTCCAAGGCTCCCCGCTGAGAGCAGCCCTCATGGGAATGGGAGGAGCTGCCAATCACTAACCACCCTGGAATCTCAGCAGAGCGCTGGCAGACGTGGGAGATGGAGACCCTGGTGGCTTTGCCCAGGGCCACTCAGGAGGGGGTAGAGTGGGGAGCACCAGAACCAGCCACCCTGGCTCCAAAGCCACCCACCAGACCCAGCCTTTTTCTTAAAAATATATTACTAGAAACCTGGTGCACAGATTCGTGAACTAGTGGGGTCCTTTGGCCTGGCCTGGGCCCTCTTGCAATCCGGGAGGCATGCTGGCTGGGGAGGTACCAACGAGGTGTCCAGGGCATGTCCAGCTATCTCACCCAGTCCCCAATTGGCAGGACCACACCAGCAAGGTAACCTACTGGTTGGGTGTATTCCCCCTGGTGGTTAGTGTGTGTCATAGCAATTGGTCAAACGGTCGAATGGTCAGACACTTAGCATATTAGGCTTTTATATATATAGATTGATTTCAGAGAGGAAGGGAGAGGGAGAGAGGGAGATAGAAATATCAGTGATGAGAGAGAATCATTGATTGGCTGCCTCCTGCACACCCCACACTGGGGATTGAGCCCGCAACCCGGGCATGTGCCCCTACTGGGAATCGAACTCTCACCTTCTGGTTCACAGGTTGATGCTCAACCACCAATCCATGCCGGCCAGGCCCTAACCTTAACAAATTACCACACACCGGGTGCTCTTAGCAGCAGAAAGCTATCCTCTCACAGCTCTGGAGGACAGAGGTCTGAGACCAAGGTGTCTGCAGGCTGTGCTTTCTCTGAAGGTTGCTGTGTCTGCTACAGCTGGGCCTGTCCCCCCTGGTGTTGCCCTAAGTCCTGGACTTGTAGAACCTCCCTCCAACCTGTCCTCACATGGCTACCCCCTGAGAGTCCGTGTCGCCTCTTCTTACAGGACACCAATCAGATTAGAATAGCCCCCCCCCCCCACCCCACACACACTTCATATGGCCTCACCTTAAATGACTCCATCTGCGAGGACCCTATGGCCAAATAGGGGCGCATTCTGAGGCTCTGAGCAGGACGTGATGTGGAGGGGATACTCTCCAATCCAGCACATGCATGCTTCCCATTTACTGCTGAAAATCTCACATGTGTGGTAGAGACGACGCATGTCCCAGTGTTAATGCTCCTGTTTCAGCATGTATAGCCCCTGATGCTTACCCAGTTACCCAGCATGAAGGCTCCATTTCCTGAACTCCTTTGCTGCCAGGTGTGGCTGGGTGACAGTCCTGGCCAGGAGATGTGGAAATAAACTCCATATGGCAGCTTGTGGGACCTTCCTCAGCAGCGGCTAGCTTGGTCACCTGCCCCTTTCTCCCCCTCTTCCCCCAGCTCGCTGACAGGACACAGGTGTTCCAGGCAGCTGCACAGTGGGCCCCGAGGACCCAGACCTCATTATCCTGAGGCTGGCCTAGCAGTGAGCTGGGAGCCTCGTGGGTCCCACGTGACTGTGGAGTTGTTAGGGGCAGACATCGAGGAGTGGGGACTAGCTGTAGTTGTAAGAAGCATGAATCATGCTCTGGTAGTGGTGGCTGTTCTGTTCTGATTAGAGGAAGCACATGCTGACCTGGCTGAGACTTGTATCCCCGGGACATGGGAGTTAACCTGGGAATGCAGCCCATTCTCCTTTTTTAAGAACTGATTCACCACCTTGTTGTTGAAATAATCCAGTTCCGAGACGCCCTTCCTTACTAGTTCCCAGCCTGCACTGCCTGTAGCCTGCACCATTCCCCTGGCCTGCTCCCCAACCCGTCACTCCTACTTCCCATGTAATCTCTGTCCTTCTACCCAGTATCAGCAGCTGGTTTATGGGGAAGAGCGTATTTTCATGGATGACCTGCCGCTCTCCCACACTGCCGGCCTTACTGGAATAAACTCGCATATACGACTCAACCCTGTCTCTGCTGACCTGGCTCAAGTAGTGACAGGCAGCCCGGACCCATTGGTTGTCTGGCTTCAGAGTCATCGCCCAGCTCTGCAGCTAACAACTGGCCTTTCCTGTTGGAGGGAAGCGACCACCCAGGGCGGCCGGGCTGCATGGAAACAGCGCTCCCGCTGGCCTGGAGGGTTCCTGCACCACCTCAGCTGGGCAGAGTGCAGGTGTGCCAGGAGCAGGAGGGGCTGTTGGGAGAAGATGCCCTTGAGGTCCCCATGGATCTCTGAGACTGACCTTCTGCTTTGGTCTTCATCTCCAGGTGGAGGAGAGATTCTGAGCCGACCACTTTGCCTGGTTCGATGACCCAGTCAGTCAAGAGTGTGGTCCACACCTGTGCCTCCCTCCTTGTGAGGAGACGGAAGGAAGCCGGTAGGTAGGGGCGGGTCCACGGCAAAGGAAGTAGAACCGGGAACCCAATGAGGCGGAGTTACTAAGGCACCCAACTGGGCGGGGAAGGAAGGGCACTCGCGAGAGAGGCATGAACTTTAAAATGTATGGATACTGCTGAGATCGCATGCAGATAACCAATCACAAGGCAGTAAGGCATATAAGCCAATCCCAAGGACTTTGCCTAGGCAGAATTCTTTGAAAAGACCAATTAGGAGCTAGCAAGACTGCCCACCCCCTAAAGTAAAAGGCCCGCACTTCCTCTCGCCCTCTCTCTTCTCCCTGGCAGCAATGGCTTCCTGACGTTCCTTCCTGTGTTGGGGGAGCCCACCCCTGTGTCCACCTGGCCTCCACACATGGACTATTAGACTTTAATTAGCTTGGACACCAGACTACTCCCCCCGTCACATGGAAAGGAGGCTCCAGACACCGGCCTGCACTTGGAACCCCAGCTACCCCTTCTCCAGGACTGGCTTCTCCCAGTAAACTTTGGTTCCATTAATTGGGGGGGTTGGGGGTGGTTGTGGAAGGCCCTGGGTGGTTGGCGGACGGGCCCCGCCCCCTGGTTGAACTGGTCAAGGGGACAATTTGCACATTAGCCTTTTATTGCAGAGGGACTTGGGGAGGGGAGCTTCAGGGAGAGAAAGCTGTGCTGCTTCAGTTTTCCGGGAGCCAGCCGCTTGGAGACATCATTCTGTCCCAAAAATAAAGTCATGATTCCTCCTCAGTCCCTGAGGAGACAAAACACACATTAGCATCTAATGAGGACCTTCCTGAGGACAAAGGGAGTTGAGCAGGAAGAGCTTTTACCATGTGAACAAAGGCCTAATTAAGCAAAGCTGTTCTGCCCGACCAGTTGGCTCAGTGGTTGAGCAATGAGCTCTGAACCAGGAGGTCAAGGTTCCCCATCAGGGCACATGCCTGGTTTTCGAGCCCAATCCCTAGTGTGGGGCGTGCAGGAGGCAGCAGATCAATGATTCTCTAACAGCGGTTCTCATCCTGTGGGTCGCGACCCCTTTGGCGGTCGAATGACCCTTTCACAGGGGTCGCCTAAGACCATCCTGCATATCAGATATTTACATGACGATTCATAACAGTAGCAACATGACAGTTATGAAGTAGCAACGAAAATAATTTTATGATTGGGTCACAACATGAGGAGCTGTATTTAAAGGGCCAGAAGGTTGAGAACCACTGCATCATCATTGATGTTTCCATCTCTCTCTCCCTTCCTCTCTAAAATCAATAAAGATATATTTTTTAAAAATAGTTGCCCTTAATACTAGGCGCATTCACATCACAGGGGCTGGGCTACAGTTTGTTACTAAGGAAGCCCTAGCCACCGAACGCAGGCATTCTCTGTCTCCTCAGTCTTCTGATGGCCACACTCATACACATTCATGACCACTTGTGTTCGGTTTAATAACAACATTTAGTTAATGTGGTGAGATGGGAGGACCGAGGAGGGGGGAGCACCTTTGCTGGGGGAGAGGGAGGCGCTGAGGGGTGGAGGGAGGGAGGGTCGGGGTGGGGAGGCACCTGAAGGAGCAGAGAGGCCCAGACTCAGGTGAAGGTTGTGAGACGTAAGGGGGGGAGGTGGGGGGAGGAAACCCATACCAGAGGATTTCATCAAGCTTCTGCTGCAGACTACTAAAATTTCTTCGCATATTCTTCCAATATGTGAACTGCCATCCCCCGTTGTCCACAAAGTTATCCCAACAGTATTTAAAATCTGCAGCAAAGAGGGGAGAAAGCAGGCAGGTCAGGCCTAGGAGCCTTTCTCTCCTGAGCTTCCCCTGGGCAGCCCCACTCAGGGCCCAATTTCCTCCTTGCCAGGTGTCTTCACTCCTGCCTCAGTTTCCCAAGTTCCCCTGCCACTCACTCTCCCTGGGTGCCTCTACAAGCCCCCCCCCCCCCCTCCGCTGCACCATTCCTGCCCCAGCTCCCTCTGCTCTCACCCTTTGGAGCCATCATGGCCACCTTGGCCCCTGCAGCAACCAGATCTCGAAGCCCCTGCTCATCTTCGTCCTCACACAAGTACAGGCGGGCGGCGGAGATGCTCAGGTACACATTCTCGTTCTCATTCAGGAAGCGAGCCACCTGCTCTGCACACTCGAAGCAGGGGCTCCAGGATATGTACCAGGTGACATGGTATTGCGCATCAGGACACTGAATCTCATCAGGAAACAGAACCTTCTCATGGAACCAATCCAGGAAGCAGAGTTCAGCGTGGCCAGGATACAACTGGGAGAGATGGAGAGAGGGTGGGGGGACCCTCGTAACAAAGCAGGCATGTGACAGAGCAGGCATGTGACAGGACTGAGGGGTGGGCACCAGGAGACAGGGAGCAATAGTCTCAGGGTCATGTTGTTGATTGATTTATCCCCTTTTTATTTTTTAAAAAATGTGTTTTTATTGATTTTTATTTTTTAAAATATATTTTTATTGATTTCAGAAAGGAAGGGTGAGAGGGATAAAATGTCAATGGTGAGAGAGAATCATTGATTGGCTGTCTCCTGCACGACCCCTGCTGGGGATTGAGCCCACAACCTGGGCACGTACCCTTGACCTGGATCAAACCCAGGACCGTTCAGTCCGCAGGCTGATGCTCTCTCTATCCACTGAGCCAAACCAGCGAGGGCTATTTGTATTGATTTTTAGAGAGAGGAAGGGAAAGGAGAGATAGAAACATTGATGAGAGAGAAGCATGGAACAGCTGCCTCCTGCACACCCCCCTCTGGAGATCAAACCTGCAACCTGGGCTTGTGCCCTGAATGGAATCTAACCAGTGACCGCTTCGTCCAGGGGTCGGTGCTCACCCACTGAGCATCCCCAGTGGAGCTATTCATCCCTTTGTAAACTCCTCCCCTCCCTAATGTTTTATTTCCGCATCCCTTCCCACACGCACCCAAGAACTGCAACATCCTGAGGGCCCGCTCCAGGCCAGGCCGCTGGGTCCAGGCTTGTTCCCTGGGTGCTGTCTGCCGGGAGGGCCCAGAGCCGTGCTGCCCACAGGGAGCCACTAGCACAGGTGTCTGCTGTGCTCTTGAAATGCGGCTCACATGCACTGACGTGCGCGACAAATACGGAATACACTCCTTATCTCCGTGACATGGTATGGAAGAAGAGTGTAAACTATCTCACGAAGAACTTTTATATTAACTACTAGAGGCCCGATGCATGAAAATTCGTGCAAGAGTAGGCCTTACTTCCCCCGGCTGCCGGCACCGGCTTCCCTCCTCTGTCCCCTGGCAGGCATCGGGACCCAGGTGGCTTTGCCAGGCCCGGCTTCGTCCGGAGGGACATCAGGAATGGTGTCCAGAAGGACGTCCGGTCTAATTAACATATTACCCTTTTATTATTACAGATATGTTGAAACAATATCTTAGATATATTACAAAGTACGTTATCAACATTAAATTGATCGATTTCTCTGAAAGTTTGACCCCTGGGTACTAGAAAAGGTTACATGACCTGAGTGACCCTGATTACGCGCCCACGGGAAAGTACTGCCCAGTGACACCATGTCCATCAAGAGGGGCTCTGAGACATCTGCAGTCTGGGTGGAGAAGGGAGGGCTGGCGTGTGCTGGACGCTGCACAGGAGACCTTAGTGCTTGGCTCAGAGTGGGCGGGAGGCAGGCAGGAAGTGGGTGTGGGTTCTCCCCTGGGGGATCCCACATCCTGGGCCTGGAAGAGGCAGGGGGTAGCTGGGGGAGGACCTAGCCAGCAGAGCACTTCCTACGGCCCCATAAGGCATTGGTCACAGCAGCCCCAACTGTCCTAGACCCTATTTCTTTTTTTTTCTTTTTTGCAATCAGCATTTTAATAACAAAGATACTATTTTTAACATGGTCACGTATACTTGGCTAAGTCCGGATTTTAAAAAACATAAGTATTCTAGCCCAACAGTTCGACCATACAGTTTTGTACAGAACATTCCGCAGGTCAACAGAAAATGCATTTCAGCACAAAAACTATTTAAAGAGAATCTCTAAGCACCATTTTATTTCTGCAAAACAGATATATATCTTGTACTGATTAAATATCTACAAGTGCTGCCCTAGCTGGTTTGGCTCAGTGGATAGAGCATCAGCCTGTGGACTGAAGGACCCCATGTTAGATTCTGGTCAAGGGCATATGCCCAGGTTGCGGGCTCGATCCACAGTAGGGGTGGGCAGGAGGCAGCCTATCGATACTCTCTCATCATTGATGTTTCTCTCTCTCTCTCCCTTCCTCTCTGAAATCAATAAAAATATATTAAATATCTACAAGTCCTTTTCCTTTACAAAAATACATATATTGTTGATGGACTGAGTCATTAACAATGACCTGGTCATCTTTCACTTCAAGTTGAATGATTCATAAGCTAAATCTTACAACCACAAAAAGGATTTTTTCTTTTTTAAATATATTTTATTGATTTTTCACAGAGAGGAAGGGAGAGAGATAGAGAGAGTTAGAAACATCGATGAGAGAGAAACATCGATCAGCTGCCTCCTGCACATCTCCCACCGGGGATGTGCCCGCAACCCAGGTACATGCCCTTGACCGGAATCGAACCCGGGACCTCTCAGTCCGCAGGCTGACGCTCTATCCACTGAGCCAAACCAGTTTCGGCCACAAAAAGGATTTTTATTTGCATTAAGATGTTACCACTTATGGCAAAAAAAAAAGCTTAAAATATTTTATATTTCAAAGAAAAATCAGCAACACAACTGTACACTGTACTTATGGTGGTTTTTTTTTTAACGTGAGGCCTCCTCTACCAAACACTGATGCTCGCCGGGGCTGCCCCCCGCCAGGGCGCAGCAGAGCCCGGGCTCCCTCACTGGCACGTGTCGTGGACGACAGCTTGATAAGGACACTTAGGCCCCCACCCTCGTTCTAAAGAACACAGCAAAGGAAAACTGACCCCAAACACAGGAGGCTGATCCCTTTACATTTCCAATGTGCCGAACCCCTGCTCCAGTGGACTGAGGTGCGTCTGTGGATAAATAATCTGTTTGCTAACTCTGCTGTTACCCAGAAACATTGACTCTTCATTTGTACTAGATTCGTTTCTTATTCCCCGAAGCCCTGGAAGATGGAGGAAAACTAGACCCAGCGTGTAACAGACGCCAGTTGCACTTGGTTCTGGGTTTAAAGGTAATGAACATTGAAAAGCTGCTGAACAATGTCTCAGAGCTGGCTCCTAGGGAAAGGGGCATAGCAGATTCACGGACACTTTTAAATGAGCATTTACAATGAAATTATTTTTAAGTGTAATGTCGTAACTTTCTGAAAAGGAAGTGCTCAAGCATTTTAAGTGTTTGAAAGCACAGAGAAATACGAAGAAGAAAACACACGATAAGTGACAACTACATTACTGGGAAGAGAATCACTTTTCAATTATTGGGAAAATGCCATTGCTGTAGGGAAAAAATGGTGAAAACCTTGTAATGCGTATTTGAGTACATTTTAAAAAATATATATTTTATTGATTTTTTACAGAGAGGAAGGGAGAGAGATAGAGAGTTAGAAACATCGATGAGAGAGAAACATCGATCAGCTGCCTCCTGCACACCTCCTACTGGGGATGTGCCCGCAACCAAGGTACATGCCCTTGACCGGAATCGAACCTGGGACCTTTCAGTCCGCAGGCCGACGCTCTATCCACTGAGCCAAACCGGTTATGGCTATTTGAGTACATTTTAATGAGATTTCAATCTCATGTTTTTCCATCAAAACTCAGCTGAACTAGGTCTGTCAAGTCAATCCAGCATTAGTTGGTTATTTTGTGCTTTCAAAGGGTTCAGAGTCTCCAGTATATTTAATATTTTCCAACCCTTCATATGCCAGATCTGGCAGACATGCTATGTCCCTTTCTGTGTGTGTGTGTGTGTGTGTGTGTGTGTGTGTGTGTTTGTGCGCGCATCTCATTTATAACTAGAGGCCTGTTGCACGAATTCAGGGACAGGTGGGGTCCAGCCAGCCTGCCACCATTTGGAGTGGTGGGTGCTGATCAGAGTGGGGCCTGCCCAGGAGAGGGGCAGTGGGGGATTGGCTGACCCACCCCCAATTACAGTGGGGGGGAGGGGGAGATGATCAGGGCCACAGTGTGCATCAAAGCAACTGGTCGTTCTGGTGTTCAGGTCGCTTGGCTTTTATATATATAGACTGAAGGCCTGGTGCACGTATTTTTGCACCTGTGTGGGGGTGCGGCCTGTGAGGATCAGCCTACTGTGGGGGCACTGCTCATCCCAGTCAGCCAAGCTCCGCTCCCACTGTTGAATTGCACTGACCACCAGGGGGCAGTTCATGTATTAAGCGTTTGCCCCCTGGTGGTCATTGCACATCGTAGTGACTGGTTGACTGGTCATTCTAGTCATTCTGCCATTCGGTCAGCAGGCTTTTATATATATAGATAGCATTTCACATTTTTGTGGTTCTAATCCAGGTATTTAAAGTATGGCAAACACATTCATTTTTGCAATTCTCCTACAACAAACATCTTGAATATCAAGCTTAGCCTGTGGAAAATTCCTTATGATAAACCATCTACACTAATAAAAGAGAAACATGGTAATTGGCGTACGACCGCTACCCTTCCCATTGGCTAATCAGCGAGATATGCAAATTAACTGTCAGCCAAGATGGTGGCAGGCAGCCAGGCAGCTGAGAACAGGAGGCTTGGTTGCCCCAGCGATGGAGGAAGCCAAGGTTCCCCGTCTGCAGCTGCGGGGCTCTGAGTTCCTGAAGCAACAACTCCAAAAGATACAATGCTTCAATTATAGAAGCTAAAAGATGGCGGTTAATTTGCATACTCAGGCTCCAAGCAGAGCGAAGCCAAACAGCCCTGAAGCGGCAGGGCAGAGAGGCCTCAGGACCCTGGGATCAGCGGAGCCGAGAGGCCTCCCAGCCCCAGTTATCAGCAGAACCAAGAGGCCTACTGGCCCGGGATCAGCGGAGCTGAGAGGCCTCCTGGCCCAGTTATCAGCAGAGCCTCGAGGCCTCAGGACCCCCAGATCAGCGGAGCCGAGAGGCCTCCCAGCACCGGGATCAGTGTGACAGGGGGCAGCGACCAAACCCCTGATCGCCCTGCGGGCTCTGGGTGTGACAGGGTGCGGAGCCCCAACCCCCCTGATGGGCCCTGCTCTGTGCGTGACAGGGTACGGAGCCCCAACCCCCCTGATGGGCCCTGCTCTGTGCGTGACAGGGGGTGGCGCCGAACCTCCCTATCGACCCTGCCTTGAGTGTGTCAGGGGGCGGTGCCCCAACCCCCCAATCGGCCCTACCCTGAGCGTGACTGAGTGTGGCATTGCAACCTCCAGATCTGCCCTGCTCTGTGCATGACAGGGGGCGGTGCCCCAACTCCCCAATCGGCCCTTCTCTGAGCCCGACCAGGGGCTGCACCTAGGGATTAGGCCTGCCCTCTGCCACCCGGGAGCAGGCCTAAGCCAGCAGGTCGTTATCTCCTGAGGGGTCCCAGGCTGCGAGAGGGCACAGGCCGGGCTGAGGGACCTCCTCTCCCCACCCCGAATGCACAAATTTTTGTGCACTGGGCCTCTAGTAGTACATAACAGAGGATTACATACGGCCTATCAGAGAGATGTCAGGATGTGACCATTAACTCTGAGGTGGCCCACAGCCTGAACTCCAAAGGAGAATGGTGTAAGAAGAGTGATTATTTTGATGTATGTATGATCTAGATCTGAGACCCATTTTGCTAATTTGGCTGAGTGGCTGAATTCTAATAACAGTAGAGCAATCACGGAGAAACAGGACAGGGAGGTGAAACAGGTCTTTATGAAAATTTTGCTTTTGAATATGGAAAAAGCATTTATGTATGTGAGTCCAATCGAATGTACTCTTTTCTATACACGTAAGCCTATCAGCACTTTTACCCACGCCTAGATGCTCTTTCCTCCAAGACAGTTTGAGGTCCCTGGAAGAGGTGGAGACTGAGGGCCAGCAGGTTCAATAGACTCTAGTGACTAGAGGAGGCCTTGTGGATAAGTCAAATTCCATTGTCTATGGCAGCAGTCACCAATCTTTCAGCCCTCACGGGCCATTAGTGGTCCACAGACCAACCGTTGGTGACTGCTGGTCTATGGTGATTTGGGAGGGTCAGGCAGGGGCATCCAGGGCTAAAACACAGGACAGTGTTGTGGGAAGAAGCCTCTGGCATTTTCCATATTATCATCTCCCCACATTCTTCCCTGGCTTAGCTCCTGCCTCTGATGACAGCATCGTGGGGGCACATACCTGGTTTCGAAAGACACCATTTTGATAGTCAAGAAATGAGCCATCCTTCCATCTTTCCACTTCAAAGCAGAGGAAGGTAGACTTCCGCCCATAGCTATTTAGGTTTTGGAAGTTGAAGTCGAAGGTGTTGGGATACATGCTTCTCATTGGGTTGCAGTGGGCAAGAGAGAAAACAGACAATTCAGTGTTCCTATGAGTTTCACCCATCCAGTGACTCCTGAACACACCCCATGGACAACCTGGGCACCCTGCCTCCCAGTAACCCCTGCCTTCAGCTGGGGGAGAGCAGGAGAGCAGGGGCTGCAGAGACAGTGGGGCGGGGGGGTGGGGAGAGGAGAGGGGCTCCTGTCCTCACCCTTAGGGACCGGCTCTGCTGCTTCCAACAGTACACGTCCAGCTCCTTACCCCAGTCATTTGAATACAGAAATGAGTAATAAAACTGCCTCTACCCCCTAACATTAGATTTTCATATTAAGGTGCAATTCATGATTCACCTTTCACCTATGTATGTTTATTATTATTATTTAATGTCAGGCTAACACCTAAATACACAGGCTCTGGCTAATGTTCTAAGAGCTCCTTGTATCTAAACTCCTCTATTCCTCCCCAATTCAGGGGCCTCACCCCATTTTATAGAGGAGGGAACGGGACACAGAGAGGGGAGTAGCCTGTGCAAGTCACAGGGCTGCTGAGTGACAGAGCCAGTCCCTTGCCCAGGCAAAGCCATGTCCAGCCCTTGCATGACGTCAGCTGGCAGCGGGGCCCCATTGGCTGAGAGGCTTTTCTCCCTCATTGCACTATAAACGCGAGGGCGGGGATGCCTCTGGGCACAGCCTGACTTTGCTCTTCTGCTCACAGTGCCAGCACCTTGGGAGACAGGATTTCATGTCCTGCTCAGCGAGTCCCTCTCACTCTGAGTGGATATCGGGGTCAGTAGCACAGAAAGTGGATCCAAGTGCTTCAAGCCAAATGCCCCCAGTGCTCCACTCAACCTTTAGTGCAAGTCTCATGGCCAAGAGGGCACAGGAAAGGCCACAGAGCAGCAGCCCCGCGGGCAGGGAGGGGACAGCCAGCCCACAACTGGCAGACTGAGAGGAGGACCAAGTGGACAACAGGCCTGGGCGAGGGGCAGGAGGGGCCATTCAGAAGCAATTGTGGAGGCTTCCCCAGGAGAGGGCAAAGCCCCCATGGAGTGGGACCTGCAGAGAAGGTGCCCAGAGCGGGAAAGAAGCCAGGCTAGACCAGGGGGAGGACAAGGCTGAGGACAGCGTCACCTGAGGGCCCCCAAATAGAAAGGGCTACAGAGGAGGACAGAGTGGGGGCAGTACCTGGGCCAGGGCACCGGAGTGAAGTCTTGGTTCCCTTGTTGCTGCTGCATTGCCCTTGGTCCCCGGCGCTGGTGCTGCACTTCTGCTCACAGGCTAAGGTTTTAGGAAAGTCCCTGTATAAACAAACTTCCCGCCTTCTTAGCTGGGCCCCACCTCCTTCCAGCTTTGGCTGTGAGGGGTGGGGGGGTGGGCGGGTCCTTGGGTGTGATCTTCCTCAGCCTCAGACCAACCTTCCCTCCTCCTCTGGGGCCCTCCCTCTGGACAGAGCTGACCTCTGCTGGTGACAGGCTCCTCTGTGCAGCAGGACCCAGGCTGCTGGCAAAAGGAAAGTGAAAGTGATGATGGCAGGGAGAGGGGATGAGACAGGCCCTGCTCCCCTGGGAGGGCCAGGCTGGAGCCCTCCCCACACCACCCTGCACCCAGCCCAAGCCTGAGCCCAGTGCAGGCTCTCCACCTGCCTCCGGCTGAATGACGGGAACGTGTGGACCTTGGATCAGGGACAGATGTGCGTTGAGTTCCTCGTTCTGGGCTTGGTCCTCTGCTTGGGTCCCTCTGCCTTCACAGGGTGGGGAGGACACCGCAGGCAGCCTCCTGTCCCTCTTGCTCTAGGAGAGCTTTCAGACAAGCTGGATAGTGACCCTTGTCAGTTACACTGCAAACGCTTTCTTTCAATGTGTGGCTAGGGTCTCACTTCATGAAGTCTTTCCATGTATACATGCCTTAATTTTTAATGTTTTCAAATGTATTCATTTTATCATGTATGTATATGACATGACATAGGCATGTCATTTTTTATTTTGTATTGAATAGCCAATACAAGGACATTTAATGACTTTCCTTCCCTGTCATTTTGTCCTACTGGTGTGCAATGCCACAACCTTAGTGTGTGTGTGTGTGTGTGTGTGTGTGTGTGTGTGTGTGTGGTCTCTGACTCTCTCATATGCTCCATTGCCTCACCTGTCCATGCTTGGGTGACTACCCCACTGATCTTCCAGAGATTCAGGGTAGATCCAATATCTGGTACGCCCATCCACCTTAGCCTCACCTTGGAAGTTCTATTGGCCTGTACAGATCTACATGAATTTATGCGAAAACATTCCTTAAAATATGTTTTATAAATTGATTTCAAATCAGGAAGGAAGGGGGAGAGAGAAAAAAAAATCAGTGATGAGTGAAACATTCATTGGCTGCTTCCTGCATACCATCTACTGGGAAAAGATACCAGAACCTGGGCAGGTGCCCATGCATGAACCTCCTGGATCACGGGTCCATGCTCAACCACTGAGCCAAACCAGCTGACTGATGGACAAACTTTTCATGTTTCATGCGATACCCTATTATCAATGTGTAGAGCAATCTTGGCAGGCATAGATGTCTCTGAGGCCCTGAAACTCTCCATCCATGAACATGGGATATATCTCCATTCCTATGGGCCTTCTTTTATGTTCTCAGTGAGTTGAAATGAAGTTAAAGGGGAAGCTGGAAGGGAAGGAAAGAGGCAGCCATGAGGGCAAAGAAGAGGAAAGGGAGCACGGAGAGGAAGAAACAGGATCAAAAAGGAGGATACACCACTCTGGGCAGATGGAGGGAAGCAAAGCAGGGAGGAGAGAGGAAAGAATGGAGGGAGGGAAGGGGCAGAGAGGGAGGGTGTGAATCCGGGCTGAATCTTGTCTCCCTGCAACCTTGGGAAAAGGGAAAAAGAACTTTGCCTCAGCAATCTGGTGCTCAGTAGTCATTCCCTGCTGAGAGAATTGGTGCAGTCTGGACAAGCTTGGGGATGAAAGGGGCTTCGCCCAGGTCCTGAGACACAGTGAGTCTGCACCTAAAGGCAGAGTGAATTTAAAGCAAAGGGAATGGAGGCCCCTCTCAATATGCCCTGCTCACTGGGGCATGGTGGCATCGCTTCTGGGGCTGGCATTCTCCCTGGCACACCTGCAGCAGGGGAGGGAGGAGACACAGAAATGAGGGCAGCAGCCCACAGGACATCTGGGAGTCCTGGGGAGAGGCCAGGCGAGGCACAGGGTCAGGAGACAGGAGGATCACACAGGGGTCAGAGCAGGAGCTGGGAGAGGATAAGGAGGGAGTCCCCATCAGGGAAGGCAGGAGGAGGGGGTCCGGAGCAGGGGTCAGCCCTGTCCTGGGTCTCAGCCTTGACCACCTGCTGAGACCCCTAATGCTTCTTATCACCACTTCTTCCCAGCACAAGGCTGCACATGGTGTGAGCAGAAACTGCTGGAGGACGGAAGGATTATTTGAAAATTGATTGATTGAACCAGAGTCTTCCCCTCTTCTTTATTATTACCTCATCCTTTGTTGGAGACTAACTATCTTCTTTGTTAGACATTATCCCAAATGCCCCACATTTAACTGTCACTACAGCCCCCGAGATCAGTCATGGTTACTCTCTATGTGTTACAGTGAGGAATCCAAGAGGCAGCCTGTTCCCTCTGCCACACCCACAGGGTCTCCACAGGAAGGAAACACCACTGGAACCTGACTTCTGGGCTGCCCACCAGCTGCCGTTCATGGTCAGTCCCTGCTATTGTCCATGGAGAGGACGCACAGGCTTGAAAGTTCTGTGGTTGGTCCAGTCCTCTCTCTGCCCCCTGGGACTGAGGCGTGATGAGTGGACGTGGGTCACCATCTGAGGCTTGGAGGAGACCAGGAGGAGAAGACAACCCCCGAGAGCTGAGCTGGGGGTGTGGGGTGTGGGCCCGGTTTAAACAGCATCAACTGAGCGGCTGACCAGGCCCACACTGTCCTCCTCCTCCCACAGGGCTTGTCCTGAAAAAAAGCTGACTTTCAGCCCCTCCATGGCGGCCACAGTCCCCTGACAACCCAGCCCTCTGTCCTTGATCTCATTCCTGTCCCGTGTCTCCCACCATTGGCTCCCGGCCCTGCTTTGCCCCACCCACCCCACCACACCCCACCCCAACCCACCCCACCCCACACACCCCACCCCACCACACACACCCCACCCCACCCCACCCCACCCCACACACCCCATCCCACCACACCCCACCCCAACCCACCCCACCCCACCACACCCCACCCCACCCCACACACCCCACCCCACCCCACCACCCCTCTCTCCCCTCCTCCCCTCTCCCCTCTTCTTCCATCTCCTCAGGTCACTTCCATCTCCTCAGGTCTATCAAGTCTTCCCTCTGGCTCTGCGTCCTCCTGACTCAGTCCCCTCCTACTGCTTTGGTCACAAGCGTATGACTGTCCTTATTCTCTATCCCTCCAATGTCTCTCACTAAAGGACTCAGTCCCAGTCCCTCACAGTCCTGTGTGAGGCTGTGACCGGGGGGTCCGGACATGTGAGCAGAAGCCTGTGGTGAGAGACCTGGAGCCTTGGTTGCCTGGAAGGCCGTGTGCAGGATGCCCAGCTGCCAGGGGCACGCTCAGCATGATTCAGGCTCCACAGAGACACGGCAGGACAGACAGCTGCTGCCTGCACTGCATCCTGCCTGGGCCAGGTCCTGGGAAGGGCAGAGGGATCCTGTCTGCAGGGAAGCCCCTCCCTCCAGCGTCCTCTCCAGGGAGTGGAATTAGAAAGGCCTGAGGACACAGTAATCCCCAGCCCTTCCCTCAGCCTGGCACATCCTGTGATCTCAATCAAGACCTGCTGAAGAAACCAAAGAATGACTGGCTGACCCCTAATTACCATCAGGAGATACTCACATGTGTGAGCCCACACTCACGGGCTGCAGAGGGCTTTCACACACCTTTGCTTCCCAAGCAGCCCCAAAGGTCGGGCCCTGATACCCATCGCACAGATGGGGAGGCCGAGGCTCAGAGGGAAAGGCCTTGCCTGACACCTCACAGCGGGTGGGTGGCAGAGCCAGGTGCCAGGACTCTAACCCAGGCCTGTGATGCTGCCCGACGCTCTCCCAGGGCCACACCACTTTGGTCAAGGCCGCACGAGCACTGGGGACCAGCAAGAAGCTGTGGGACAGGTCACCCTCATCTTTAAAGGCAGGAGCAGTGAGAACTGGTCCTTCGAGTCGGCAGCAGGAGACGTCCTGGGGGGAGAGGGGAGAAGGGGGCCCGAGGGGGGAAGGTAGGGCCTCCCCTGTACAGTCAGGAGCCTGTGCCGGGCTCTTTCCCAGCTGGGGGCTGCTGGACAAGTCCAATGGCTCCTCAGGGCCTCAGTTTCCCCAGCTGTCAGATGACCCTCCTCTCTGCCTCAGGAGGTGACCAGAGGGACTGATTTCAGGAGACGGTCCGCACTGACAGGTCAGTGTGAGGGAGAAGCTGCAGGACGCGGGCTGCCTGCTGGCAGGAGCTCAGTAACTCTGGCCTCACAGCAGAGGGAATGGCTGGATCTGCTCACAGGGCCCCACACCAGCAGAGAGCACATGTTGTCCAAGGCTCCCCGCTGAGAGCAGCCCTCATGGGAATGGGAGGAGCTGCCAATCACTAACCATCCTGGAATCTCAGCAGAGCGCTGGCAGACGTGGGAGATGGAGACCCTGGTGGCTTTGCCCAGGGCCACTCAATTAGGAGGGGGCAGAGTGGGGAGGACCAGAACCAGCCTCCCTGGCTCCAAAGCCACCCACCAGATCCAGCATTTTTTTGGTAAATGTATTTTTACTAGAGGCCTGGTGCACAGATTTGTGAACCAGTGGGGACCCTCGGCCTGGCCTGGGCCCTCTTGCAATCCGGGAGGCATGCTGGCTGGGGAGGTACCACACGAGGTGTCCAGGGCATGTCCAGCTATCTCGCCCAGTCCCCAGTGGCAGGACCACACCAGCAAGGTAACCTACTGGTCGGGTGTATTCCCCCTGGTGGTTAGTGTGTGTCATAGCAATTGGTCAAACAGTCAAATGGTCAGACACTCAGCATATTAGGCTTTTATATATATAGATTAATTTCAGAGAGGAAGGGAGAGGGAGAGAGGGAGATATATCAATGATGAGAGAGAATCATTGATTGACTGCCTCCTGCATGCCCCCCACTGGGGATTGAGCTCGCAACCCGGGCATGTGCCCCTACTGGGAATCGAACCCTGACCTTCTGGTTCACAGGTTGATGCTCAACCACCAATCCATGCCGGCCAGGCCCTAACCTTAACAAATTACCACACACCGGGTGCTCTTAGCAGCAGAAAGCTATCCTCTCACAGCTCTGGAGGACAGAGGTCTGAGACCAAGGTGTCCGCAGGCTGTGCTTTCTCTGAAGGTTGCTGTGTCTGCTACAGCTGGGCCTGTCCCCCTGGTGTGGCCCTAAGTCCTGGACTTGTAGAACCTCCCTCCAACCTGTCCTCAAATGGCTACCCCCTGAGAGTCCATGTCGCCTCTTCTTACAGGACACCAGTCAGATTAGAATAGCCCCCCCGCCCCCGCCCCACACACACTTCATATGGCCTCACCCTAAATGACTCCATCTGCGAGGACCCTATGGCCAAATAGGGGTGCATTCTGAGGCTCTGAGCAGGACGTGATGTGGAGGGGATACTCTCCAATCCAGCACATGCATGCTTCCCATTTACTGCTGAAAATCTCACATGTGTGGTAGAGACGACGCATGTCCCAGTGTTAATGCTCCTGTTTCAGCATGTATAGCCCCTGATGCTTACCCAGTTACCCAGCATGAAGGCTCCATTTCCTGAACTCCTTTGCTGCCAGGTGTGGCTGGGTGACAGTCCTGGCCAGGAGATGTGGAAATAAACTCCATATGGAAGCTTGTGGGACCTTCCTCAGCAGCAGCTAGCTTGGTCACCTGCCCCTTTCTCCCCCTCTTCCCCCAGCTCGCTGACAGGACACAGGGGTTCCAGGCGGCTGCACAGTGGGCCCCGAGGACCCAGACCTCATGTATCCTGAGGCTGGCCTAGCAGTGAGCTGGGAGCCTCGTTGGTCCCACGTGACTGTGGAGTTGTTAGGGGCAGACATCGAGGAGTGGGGACTAGCTGTAGTTGTAAGAAGTATGAATCATGCTCTGGTAGTGGTGGCTGTTCTGTTCTGATTAGAGGAAGCACATGCTGACCTGGCTGAGACTTGTATCCCCGGGACATGGGAGTTAACCTGGGAATGCAGCCCATTCTCCTTTTTCGAGAACTGCCGATCATCATGGAAAGATTCACCACCTTGTTACTGAAACAATCCAGTTCCGAGACGCCGTTCCTTACCAGTTCCCAGCCTGCACTGCCTGTAGCCTGCATCATTCCCCTGGCCTGCTCCCCATGGCTGTCACTCCTACTTCCCATGTAATCTCTGTCCTTCTACCCAATATCAGTAGCTGGTTTATGGGGAAGAGCGGATTTTCATGGATGACCTGCCGCTCTCCCACACTGCCGGCCTTGTTGGAATAAACTCGCATATACGACTCAACCCTGTCTCTGCTGACCTGGCTCAAGTAGTGACAGGCAGCCCGGACCCATTGGTTGTCTGGCTTCAGAGTCATCGCCCAGCTCTGCAGCTAACACCTGGACGTACCTGTTGGAGGCAAGCGACTACCCAGGGCGGCTGGGCTGCATGGAGACAGCGCTCCCACTGGCCTGGAGGGTTCCTGCACCACCTGAGCTGGGCAGAGTGCAGGTGTGCCAGGAGCAGGAGGGGCTGTTGGGAGAAGATGCCCTTGAGGTCCCCATGGATCTCTGAGACTGACCTTCTGCTTTGGTCTTCATCTCCAGGCGGAGGAGAGATTCTGAGCCGACCACTTTGCCTGGTTCGATGACCCAGTCAGTCAAGAGTGTGGTCCACACCTGTGCCTCCCTCCTTGTGAGGAGACGGAAGGAAGCCGGTAGGTAGGGGTGGGACCACGGCAAAGGAAGTAGAACCGGGAACCCAATGAGGCGGAGTTACTAAGGCACCCAACTGGGTGGGGAAGGAAGGGCACTTGCAAGAGAGGCATGAACTTTAAAATGTATGGATACTGCTGAGATCGCATGCAGATAACCAATCACAAGGCAGTAAGGCATATAAGCCAATCCCAAGGATGTTGCCTAGGCAGAATTCTTTGAAAAGACCAATTAGGAGCTAGCAAGACTGCCCACCCCCTAAAGTAAAAGGCCCGCACTTCCTCTCGCCCTCTCTCTTCTCCCTGGCAGCAATGGCTTCCTGACGTTCCTTCCTGTGTTGGGGGAGCCCACCCCTGTGTCCACCTGGCCTCCACACATGGACTATTAGACTTTAATTAGCTTGGACACCAGACTACTCCCCCCGTCACATGGAAAGGAGGCTCCAGACACCGGCCTGCACTTGGAACCCCAGCTATCCCTTCTCCAGGACTGGCTTCTCCCAGTAAACTTTGGTTCCATTAATTGGGGGGGTTGGGGGGGGAGGTGGAAGGCCCTGAGGGGTTGGCGGATGGGCCCTCCCTCCTGGTTGAACTTCCGGTCAAGGGGACAATTTGCACATTAGCCTTTTATTGCAGAGGGACTTGGGGAGGGGAGCTTCAGGGAGAGAAAGCTGTGCTGCTTCAGTTTTAGCAAGGCTCTTCCATTCAGCCCCGGGAGCCAGCCGCTTGGAGACATCATTCTGTCCCAAAAATAAAGTCATGAATCTTCCTCAGTCCCTGAGGATACAAAAACACACAGACATTAGCAACTTATCAGGACCTTCCTGAGGACAAAGGGAGTTGAGCAGGAAGAGCTTTTACATCGTGAACAAAGGCCTAATTAAGCATAGCTGCTCAGCCCGACCAGTTGGCTCAGTGGTTGAGCAGCGGGCTCTGAACCAGGAGATCATGGTTCGACACCCCATCAGGGCACATGCCTGGTTTTCGGGCCTAATCCCTAGTGTGGGGTGTGCAGGAGGCAGCAGATCAATGATTCTCTTTCATTATTGATGTTTCCATCTCTCTCCCCCTCTCCTTTCCTCTCTAAAATCAATAAAGATATATTTTTAAAAAATAGTTACTCTTAATACTAGGCGCATTCACATCACAGGGGCTGGGCTACAGTTTCTTACTAAGGAAGCCGTAGCCACCGAACGCAGGCATTCTCTGTCTCCTCAGTCTTCTGATGGCCACACTCATACACATTCATGACCACTTGTGTTCGGTTTAATAACAACATTTGGTTAATGTGATGAGATGGGAGGACCGAGGAGGGGGGAGCACCTTTGCTGGGGGAGAGGGAGGCGCTGAGGGGTGGAGGGAGGGAGGGTCGGGGTGGGGAGGCACCTGAAGGAGCAGAGAGGCCCAGACTCAGGTGAAGGTTGTGGGAGGTAAGGGGGGGGGGGGGGGCGCGGGAGGAAACTCATACCAGAGGATTTCATCAAGCTGCTGCTGCAGACGACCATAATTTCTTCGCACTTTCTTCCAATACGGGAAGTCCCATCCCCCGTTGTACACAAAGTTATCCCAACAGTATTCAAAGTCTGCAGCAAAGAGGGGAGAGAGCAGGCAGGTCAGGCCTAGGAGCCTTTCTCTCCTGAGCTTCCCCTGGGCAACCCCACTCAGGGCCCAATTTCCTCCTTGCCAGGTATCTTCACTCCTGCCTCAGTTTCCCAAGTTCCCCTGCCACTCACTCTCCCTGGGTGCCTCTACAAGCCCCCCCCCGCCCCTCCGCTGCCCCATTCCTGCCCCAGCTCCCTCTGCTCTCACCCTCTGGAGCCATCATGGCCACCTTGGCCCCTGCAGCAACCAGATCTCGAAGCCCCCGCTCATCTTCGTCCTCACACAAGTACAGGCGGGCGGCGGACATGCTCAGGTCCACGTTCTCGTGCTCATTCAGGAAGCGAGCCACCTGCTCTGCACACTCGAAGCAGGGGCTCCAGGATATGTACCAGGTGACATGGTATTGTGCATCAGGACACTGAATCTCATCAGGAAACAGAACCTTCTCATGGAACCAATCCAGGAAGCAGAGTTCAGCGTGGCCAGGATACAACTGGGAGAGATGGAGAGAGGGTGGGGGGACCCTCGTAACAAAGCAGGCATGTGACAGAGCAGGCATGTGATAGGACTGGGGGGGCGGGGGGGCACCAGGGGACAGGGAGCAATAGTCTCAGGGTCATGTTGTTGATTGATTTATCCCCTTTTTATTTTTTAAAAAATATGTTTTTATTGATTTTTATTTTTTAAAATATATTTTTATTGATTTCAGATCAGAAGAGTGAGAGGGATAAAATGTCAATGGTGAGAGAGAATCATTGATTGGATGTCTCCTGCACGACCCCTGCTGGGGATTGAGCCCACAACCTGGCCACGTACCCTTGACCTGAATCAAACCCAGGACCGTTCAGTCCACAGGCTGATGCTCTCTCTATCCACTGAGCCAAACCAGCGAGGGCTATTTGTATTGATTTTTAGAGAGAGGAAGGGAAAGGAGAGAGAGAAACATTGATGAGAGAGAAGCATGGAACAGCTGCCTCCTGCACACCCCCCACTGGAGATCAAACCTGCAACCTGGGCTTGTGCCCTGAATGGAATCTAACCAGTGACTCTTGGTCCAGGGGTCGATGCTCACCCACTGAGCATCCCCAGTGGAGCTATTCATCCCTTTGTAAACTCCTCCCCTCCCTGATGCTTTATTTCCGCATCCCTTCCCACACGCACCCAAGAACTGCAACATCCTGAGGGCCCGCTCCAGGCCAGGCCGCTGGGTCCAGGCTTGTTCCCTGGGTGCTGTCTGCCTGGAGGGCCCAGAGCCGTGCTGCCCACAGGGAGCCACTAGCACAGGTGTCTGCTGTGCTCTTGAAATGCGGCTCGCCTGCACTGACGTGTGGGACAAATACGGAAGACACTCCTTATCTCCGTGACGTGGTATGGAAGAAGAGTGTAAACTATCTCACGAAGAACTTTTATATTAACTACTAGAGGCCCGATGCATGAAAATTCGTGCAAGAGTAGGCCTTACTTCGCCCGGCTGCCGGCACCGGCTTCCCTCCTCTGGCCCCTGGCAGGCATCGGGACCCAGGTGGCTTTGCCCAGCCCCGGCTTCGTCCGGAGGGACATCAGGAATGGTGTCCAGAAGGACGTCCGGTCTAATTAACATATTACCCTTTTATTATTACAGATATGTTGAAACAATATCTTAGATCTATTACAAAGTACGTTATCAACATTAAATTGAGCGATTTCTCTGAAAGTTTGACCCCTGGGTACTAGAAAAGGTTACATGACCTGAGTGACCCTGATTACGCTTCCTACGGGAAAGTACTGCCCAGTGACACCATGTCCATCAAGAGGGGCTCTGAGACATCTGCAGTCTGGGTGGAGAAGGGAGGGCTGGCGTGTGCTGGATGCTGCACAGGAGACCTTAGTGCTTGGCTCAGAGCAGGCGGGAGGCAGGCAGGAAGTGGGTGTGGGTTCTCCTCTGGGGGATTCCACATCCTGGGCCTGGAAGAGGAAGGGGTAGCTGGGGGAGGACCCAGCCAGCAGAGCACTTCTTAGGGCCCCATAAGGCATTGGCCACAGCAGCCCCAACTGTCCTAGACCCTATTTCTTTTTTTTCTTTTTTTGCAATCAACATTTTAATAACAAAGATACTATTTTTAACATGGTCACGTATACTTGGCTAAGTCCAGATTTTAAAAAACGTAAGTATCTAGCCCAACAGTTCGACCATACAGTTTTGTACAGAACATTCCACAGGTCAACAGAAAATGCATTTCAGCACAAAAAATATTTAAAGAGAATCTCTAAGCACCATTTTATTTCTGCAAAACAGACATATATCTTGTACTGATTAAATATCTACAAGTGCTGCCCTAGCTGGTTTGGCTCAGTGGATAGAGCATCAGCCTGTGGACTGAAGGACCCCAGGTTAGATTCCGGCAAAGGGCATATGCCCGGGTTGCGGGCTCAATCCACAGTAGGGGGTGGGCAGGAGGCAGCCTATCAATGATACTCTCTCATCATTGATGTTTCTTTTTCTCTCTCCCTTCCTCTCTGAAATCAATAAAAATATATTAAATATCTACAAGTCCTTTTCCTTTACAAAAATACATATATTGTTGATGGACTGAGTCATTAACAATGACCTGGTCATCTCTTTCACTTCAAGTTGAACGATTCATAAGCTAAATCTTACAACACCAAAAAGGTTTTTATTTGCATTAAGATGTTACCACTTTTGAAAAAAATAGCTTAAAATATTTTATATTTCACAGGAAAATCAGCAACACAACTGTACACTGTACTCTACGGTGGTTTTGTTTAACGTGAGGGCTCCTCTACCAAACACTCATGCTCGCCCGGGACTGCCCCGCACGAGGGCACAGCAGGGCCCGGGCTCCCTCACAGGCACGTGCCATGGACGACAGCTTGATAAGGACACCTAGGCCCCCACCCTCATTCTAAAGAACACAGCAAAGGAAAACTGACTTCAAACACAGGAGGCTGATCCCTTTACATTCCAATGTGCCGAACGCCTGCTCAAGCGGACTGATGTGCGTCTGTGGATAAATAATCCGCTTGCTAACTCTACTGTTGCCCAGAAACATTTACTCTTCATTTGTACTAGATTCGTTTCTTATTCCACGAAGCCCTGGAAGATGGAGGAAAACTAGACCCAGCGTGTAACAGACGCCAGTTGCACTTGGTACTGGGCTTAAAGATAATGAACATTGAACAGCTGCTGAACAATGTCTCAGAGCTGGCTCCTAGGGAAAGGGGCATAGCAGATGCACAGACACCTTTAAATGAGCATTTACAATTAAATTATTTTTATTTATTTATTTAAATATATTTTATTGATTTTTCACAGAGAGGAAGGGAGAGAGATAGAAACATCGATGAGAGAGAAACATCGATCAGCTGCCTCCTGCACATCTCCTACTGGGGATGTGCCCCCAACCCAGGTACATGCCCTTGACCGGAATCGAACCTGGGACCTTTCAGTCCACAGGCCGATGCTCTATCCACTGAGCCAAACCTGTTTCGGCTAAAATTAAATTATTTTTAAGGGTAATGTCGTAACTTTCTGAAAAGAAAGTGCTCAAGCATTTTAAGTGTTTGAAAGCACAGAGAAAGACGAAGAAGAAAACACACAGTAAGTGACAACTACATTACTGGGAAGAGAATCACTTTTCAATTATTGGGAAACTGCCATTGCTGTAGGAAAAAAAATGGGGAAAACCTTGTAATGCGTATTTAAGTACATTTTAATGAGATTTCAATCTCATGTTTTCCCATCAAAACTCAGCTTAACTAGGTCTGCATGTCAATTCAGCATTAGTTGGTTAGTTTGTGCTTTCAAAGGGTTCAGAGTCTCTAGTATTTTTAATATTTCCCAACCCTTCATATGCCAGATCTCACAGACATGCTATGTTCCTTATTGTGTGTGTGTGTGTGTGTGTGTATCTCATTTATAACTAGAGGCCTGTTGCACGAATTCAGGGACAGGTGGGGTCCAGCCAGCCTGCCACCAATTGGAGTGGCCGGTGCTGATCAGAGTGGGGCCTGCCCAGGGGAGGGGGTTTGGGGGGTTGGCTGGCCCATCCCCAATTAGGGTATGGGGGGGCTGATCAGGGCCACAGTGTGCATCAAAGCAGCTGGTCGTTCCGGGGTTCAGGTCGCTTGGCTTTTATATATATATAGACTGGAGGCCTGGTGCACGTATTTTTGCACCTGTGTGTGGGCGCAGCCTGTGAGGATCGGCCTTCTGTGCGGGCACTGCTCATCCCAGTCAGCCAAGCTCCATTCCCACTGTGGAAGCACACTGACCACCAGGGGGCAGTTCATGTATTAAGCGTTTGCCCCCTGGTGGTCATTGCACATCATAGTGACTGGTTGACTGGTCGTTCTAGTCATTCCACCATTCAGTCATTGGGCTTTTATATATATAGAGATAGCATTTCACATTTTTGTGGCTCTAATCCAGGTATTTAAAGTATGGCAAACACATTCATTTTTGCAATTCTCCTACAACCAACATCGTGAGTATCAAGCTTAGCCTGTGGGAGATTCCTTATGATAAACCAGAGTACATAACAGAGGATTATGTATAGCCTATCAGAGAAATGTCGGGATGTGAGCATTAACTCTGAGGTGGCCCACAGCCTGAGCTCCCAAGGAGAATGCTTTAAGAACAGTGCTTACTTTGATGTATGTATGATCTAGATCTGAGACCCATTTTGCTAATTTGGCTGAGTGGCTGAATTCTAATAACAGTAGAGCAAACACTGAGAAAGAGGACAGGGAGGTGAAACAGGCCTTTATGAAAATTTTGCTTTTGAATATGGAAAAAGCATTTATGTATGTGAGTCCAATCGAATGTACTCTTTTCTATACACATAAGCCTATCAGCACTTTTAGCCAAGCCTAGATGCCCTTTCCTCCAAGACAGTTTGAAGTACCTGAAAGAGGTGGAGACTGAGGGCCAGCAAGTTCAATAGACTCTAGTGACTAGAGGAGGCCTTGTGGATAAGTCAAATGCCATTGTCTATGGCAGCAGTCACCAACCTTTCAGACCTCATGGGCCATCAGTGGTCCACAGACCACCCGTTGGTGACTGCTGGCCTATGGTAATTTGGGAGGGTCAGGCAGGGGCATCCAGGGCTAAAACATAGGACAGTGTTGTGGGAAGAAGCCTCTGGCATTTTCCATATTATCATCTCCCCACATCTTTCCCTGGCTTAGCTCCTGCCTCTGATGACAGCATCATGCGGCACATACCTGGTTTCGAAAGACACCATTTTGATAGTCAAGAAATGAGCCATCCTCCCATGTTTCCACTTCAAAGCAGAGGCGCGTAGACTTTGGCCAATAGCCCTCTAGGTTTTTGAAGTTGGAGTAGAAGGTCTTGGGATAGATGCTTCTCATTGGTTTGCAGTGGGCAAGAGAGAAAACAGACAATTCAGTGTTCCTACGAGTTTCACCCATCCGGTGACTCCTGAACACACCCCATGGACACCCTGGGCACCCTGCCTCCCAGTAACCCCTGCCTTCATCTAGGGGAGAACAGCAGGGCAGGGGCTGCAGGGACAGTGGGGCGAGTGGGGGGGGGCTCCTGTCCTCTCCCTTAGGGCCTGGCTCTGCTGCTTACAACAACACACACCCAATCCCCCAACCCCAATGATTTGAATACAGAAATGAGTATTAAAACTGCCTCCACCCCCAAACATTAGATTTTCATATTAAGGTGCAATTCATGACTGATATTTCACCTATGCATGTTTATTATTATTATTTAACTAGAGGCCCGGTGCACAAAAATTTGTGCACTTGAGGGGAAGCGGGAGGGTCCCTCAGCCCGGCCTGTGCCCTCTCACACTCTGGGAACCCTCGGGAGATAACGCCCTGCTGGCTTAGACCTGCTCCCGGGTGGCAGAGGGCAGGCCCAATCCCTAGGTACAGCCCCTGGTTGGGCTCAGAGCAGGGCCGATTGGGGAGTTGGGGCGCCACCCCCTGTCATGCACAGAGCAGGGCAGATCGGGAGGTTGCGGCGCCACCCCCTGTCACGCACAGAGCAGGGCCAATCCGGGGGTTGGGGCGCTGCCCCCTGTCACGAACAGAGCAGGGCCCATCAGGGGGTTGAGGAGCTCCCCCCTGTCACTCAGAGAGTAGGGCCGATAGGGGAATTGGGGCACCGCCCCCTGTCACACACTGAGCAGGGTGGATCAGGGGGTTGGGACGTCACCACTCTCACACTCAGGGCAGGGCCAATGGGGAGGTTATGGCTCTACCCTGTCACACACAGAGCAGGGCCCGTGGGGGCGAGGGGGAGGTTGGGGCTCCGCACCCTGTGTCACACACAGAGCAGGGCTGATCAGGGGGTTGGAGTGCTGCACCCTGTCACACACAGAGCCGCAGGGCGATCAGAGGTTGGGGAGCTCCCCCCTATCAGGCACAGAGCAGGAGGTTGGGTCGCCTTCCCCTGTCACGAACAGAGCAGGGCGGATAGGGAGGTTGTGGCCCCACCCCCGTCACACACAGAGCCGCAGGGTGATCAGGGGGTTTGGGCGCTGCCCCCTGTCACGCTGATCCCGGTGCCGGGGGGCATCTCGGCTCCGCTGATCCCGGTGCTGGGAGGCATATTACCCTTTTACTATATAGGATAGAGGCCTGGTGCATGGGTGGGGCTGGCTGGTTTGCCCTGAAGGGTGTCCTGGATCAGGGTTGGGGTCCCCACTGGGGTGCCTGGCCAGCCTGGGTGAGGGGCTGAGGGCTGTTTTCAGGCTGGCAGGTGACGGAAGCTCCCAACTGCTTTTTTTCTTTTCTTTTTTTTAATTCTGGGCCAGCTTTAGCTCTGAGGCTCCAGCTCTTAGGCCTCTGCTGCTGAAAGTAGGTAATCAAAACAATGTATAACTCCAGCTCTGACTCCAGCTCTGAGATCCCAGCTTTCTGAAAGCTGGTTTCTGGGTTTATTTTTTAGCTTCTATATTTGTTAAAATGTTTCAAACTGCAGGCTCAGAGGCCTGCAAGGCAGGCGGGGAACATTGGTTTCCTCCATCACTGAAGCAAGCAAGCCACATGTTAGTTTCAAGCTGCCTGGCTGCAGGCCGCCATCTTGGCTGGCAGTTAATTTGCATATCTCCCTGATTAGCCAATGGGAAGGGTAGCGGTCGTACGCCAATTACCATGTTTCTCTTTTATTAGATAGGATGACAGGCTAACACCTAAATTCACAGGCTTTGGCTACTGTTCTAAGAGCTCCTTGTATCTGAACTCCTCTATTCCTCCCCAATCCAGGGGCCTCACCCCATTTTACAGAGGAGGGAATGGGACACAGAGAGGGGAGTAGCCTGTCCAAGTCACAGAGTTGCTGAGTGACAGAGCCGGTCCCTTGCCCAGGGAAAGCCATGTCCAGCCCTTGCATGACGTCAGCTGGCAGCGGGGCCCCAAAGGCTGAGAGGTTTTTCTCCTCTCATGTAAACAGCGTGTCCCCCACCGGTTGGTGCCCTATAAACGCGAGGGCGGGGATGCCTCTGGGGACAGCCTGACTTTGCTCTTCTGCTCACAGGCACCTTGGGAGAGAGGATTCCCCTTCCTGCTCAGCGAGCTCCTCTCACTCTGAGTGGATAACGGGGTCAGTAGCACAGAAAGTGGATCCAAGTGCTTCAAGCCAAATGCCCCCAGTGCTCCACTCATCCTTTAGTGCAAGTCTCATGGCCAAGAGGGCACAGGAAAGGCCACAGAGCAGGGCCCGCAGGCAGGGAGGGGACAGCCAGCCCACAACTGGCAGACTGAGAGGAGGACCAAGTGGACAACAGGCCTGGGCGAGGGGCAGGAGGGGCCATTCAGAAGCAATTGTGGGGGTTTCCCCAGAAGAGGGCAAAGCCCCCATGGAGTGGGGCCTGCAGAGAAGGTGCCCAGAGGGGGAAAGAAGCCAGGCTAGACCAAGGGGAAGACAAGGCTGAGGACAGCGTCACCTGAGGGCCCCCAAGTAGAAAGGGCTACAGAGAAGGACAGAGTGGGGGCAGTACCCGGGCAAGGGCTCCAGAGTGGACTCTTGGTTCCCTGTTGCTGCTGCATTGCCCTTGGTCCCCGGCGCTGGTGCTGCATTTCTGCTCACAGGCCCAGGTTTAGGAAAGTCCCTGGATGGAGAAACTCCCAGCCTTCTCAGCTGAGGCCCCACCTCCTTCCTGCTTTGGCTGCAGGGGTGGGCGGGCCCTGGGGTGTGATCTTCCTCAGCCTCAGACCCACCTTCCCTCCTCCTCTGGGGCCCTCCCTCTGGACAGAGCTGACCTCTGCTGGAGAGAGGCTCCTCTGTGCAGCAGGACCCAGGCTGCTGGCAAAGGGAAGTGAAAGTGATGATGGCAGGGAGAGGGGATGGGGCAGGCCCTGCTCCCCTGGGAGGGCCAGGCTGGAGCCCTCCCCACACCACCCTGCACCCAGCCCAAGCCGGAGCCCAGGAACGCTATCTACCAACCTGTTGAATGATGGGAAAGTGTGGACCTTGGATCAGGGACAGATGTGTGTTGAGTTCCTTGTTCTGGGCTTGGTCCTCTGTTTGGGTCCCTCTGCCTTCACAGGGTGGGGAAGACACCGCAGGCAGCCTCCTGTCCCTCTTGCTCTAGGAGAGCTTTCAGACAAGCTGGATAGTGACCCTTGTCAGTTACACTGCAAATGCTTTCTTTCAATGTGTGGCTAGGCTCTCGCTTCATGAAGTCTTTCCATGTATACATGCCTTAATTTTTAATGTTTTCAAATGCATTAGTTTTGTCATATATGTATATGGCATGACATAGGCATGTCATTTTTTATTTTGTATTGGATAGCCAATACAAGGGCATTTAATGACTTTCCTTCCCTGCCATTTTGTCCTACTGGTGTGCAATGCCACAACCTTAGTGTGTGTGTGTGTCTCTGGGTGTGTGTGTGTGTGTGTGTGTGTGTGTGTGTGAGTGTGTCTGTGTGTGTGTATGTGTGTGTGTGAGTGTGTCTGTCTGTGTGTGTGAGTGAGTGTGTGTCTCTTTGTGTCTGTGTGTGTCTGTGCGCGCGCACGTGTATGTGTGTGCGTGCATGTGTGTGCATGTGCATGCGTGCGTGCATGTGTGTGTCTCTCTGTGTGTGTCTGTGTGTGTCTGTGTGTGTATGTGTGTGTGTGTATGTGTGTGTGTGTCTCTGTGTGTGTATGTATGTGTGTGTGTGTGAGTGTGTCTGTGTCTGTGTGTCTGTGTGTGTTTGTGTCTGTGTGTGTGTGTGTGTGTGTGTGTGTGTGTGTGTGTGTGTGTGTGTAGGTGGTCTCTGACTCATATGCTCCATTGCCTCACCTGTCCATGCCTTAGCGACTACCACACTGATTTTCCAGAGCTTCAGCGTAGATCCAATATCTGGTACGCCCATCCACCTTAGCCTCACCTTTGAAGTTGTATTGGCCTGTACAGATCTACATGAATTTATGCAAAAACATTCCTTAAAATATGTTTTATAAATTGATTTCAAAATTAGGAAGGAAGGGGGAGAGAGAGAAAAAAACATCAATGATGAGAGAATCATTCATTGGCTGCTTCCTGCATACCCCCTACAGGGAAAAGATCCCAGAACATGGGCAAGTGCCCATGCATGAACCCCCTGGTTCACGGGTCCATGCTCAACCACTGAGCCAAACCAGCTGAGTGATGGACAAACTTTTCCTGTTTCATGCGATACCCTATTATCAATGTGTAGAGCAATCTTGGCAGGCATAGACGTCTCTGAGGCCCTGAAACTCTCCATCCATGAACATGGTATATAGATGCATTTCTATGGGCCTTCTTTTATGTTCTCAGTGAGTCTGAAATGAAGTTAAAGGGGAAGATGGAAGGGAAGGAAAGAGGCAGCTATGAGGGCAAAGATGAGGAAAGGGAGCACGGAGAGGAAGAAACAGGGTCAAAAAGGAAGATACACCACTCTGGGCAGATGGAGAGAATTAAAGCTGTGTGGAGACAGGAAAGAATGGAGGGAGAAAAGGGTCAGAAAGGGAGAATATGAATCTGGGCTCAACCTTGCCTACCTTGGGAAAAGGGAAAAAGAACTTTGCCTCAGAGCAATCTGGTGCTCAGTAGTCATTCCCTGCTGAGAGAATTGGTGCAGTCTGGACTAGCTTGGGGATGAAAGGGGCTTCGCCCAGGTCCTGAGACACCAAAAGGCAGAGGTTAATTTAAAGCAAAGGGAATGGAGGCCCCTCTCGATATGTCTTGCTCACTAGGGCATGGTGTGGTCACTCTGGGACTGGCATTCTCCCTGGCACACCTGCAGCAGGGGCAGGAGGAGACACAGAAATGAGGGCAGCAGCCCACAGGACATGCTGGAAGTCCTGGGGAGAGGCCAGGCGAGGCACAGGGTCAGGAGACAGGAGGAACACCCAGGGGCAGAGCAGGAGCTGGCAGAGGATCTGGAGTGAGTCCCATCCGGGAAGGGAGGAAGAGGGGTCAGGAGCAGGGGCCAGTCCTGTCCTGGGTCTCAGCCTCGATCACCTGTTGAGACCCCTAAGGCTTCTTGTCACAACTTCTTCCCAGCACCAGGCTGCACATGGTGTGGGCAGAAACTGCTGGAGGACGGAAGGATTATTTGAAAATTGATTGATTGAACCAGAGACTCCCCCTCTTCTTTATAATCCCCTCATCCTTTGTTGGAGACTAACTATCTTCTTTGTTAGACGTTGTCCCAAATGCCCCACATTTAACTGTCACTACGGTCCCCGTGGTCAGTCATTGTTACTCTCTATGTGTTACAGTGAGGAATCCAAGAGGCAGCCTGTTCCCTCTGCCACACCCACAGGGTCTCCACAGGAAGGAAACACCACTGCAACCTGACTTCTGGGCTGCCCATCAGCTGCCGTTCATGGTCGGTCCCTGCTATTGTCCATGGAGAGGACGCACAGGCTTGAAAGTTCTGTGGTTGGTCCAGTCCTCTCTCTGCCCCCTGGGACTGAGGCGTGATGAGTGGACGTGGGTCACCATCTGAGGCTTGGAGGAGACCAGCAGGAGGAGACAACCCCCAGAGCTGAGTTGGATGTGGGTGTGGGGGTGTAGGGGGGGTGTGGGGGTGTGGGCCTGATTCCAATAGCATCACTGAGGGGCTGAGCCAGGCCCACACTGTCCTCCTCCTCCCACAGGGCTTGTCCTGGGAAACAAGCTGACTTTCAGCCCCTCCATGGCAACCACAGTCCCTGACAGCCCAGCCTTCTGTCCGTGATCTCCTTCCTGTCCCGTGTCTCCCACCATTGGCCCCCACCCCACCGCACCCCACCCCACCCCACCCCATCCCACCCACCCCACCCCACCCCACCCCACCCCATCCCACCCCACCCCACCCCACCCCATCCCACCCCACCCCCCACCCCACCCCATCCACCACACCCCACCATACCCCACCCCATCCCACCCAACCCCACCCCACCCCACTACACCCCACCCCACCCCACCACCCCACCCCACCCCACCACCCCACCCCACCCCACCCCACCCCACCCCCCACCACCCCACCCCACCCCACCCCACCCCATCACACTCCACCCCACCCCCACCCCACCACCCCACCCCACCACCCCACCCTACCACCCCACCCCACACCACCCCACCCCACCACCCCACCCCCACCCCACCACCCCACCCCACCACCCCATTCCACCACCCCACCCCACCCCACCACACCCCACCACCCCACCCAACCCACCCCGCCCCACCCACCCCACCCCACCGCACCCCACCCCACTACCCCACCCCACCCCACCGCACCCCACCCCACCCCTCCCCACCCCAGCCAACCCACCCCGCCCCACCACACTCCACCCCTCCCCACCCCACCCCACCCACCACCACCACCCCTCTCCTGTCCTTTTTTTCCATCTCCTCAGGTCACGTTGTCTATCAAGTCTTCCCTCTGGAGCTGTGTCCTCCTGACTCAGTCCCCTCCTACTGCTTTGGCCACAAGCATATGACTGTCCTTATTCTCTATCCCTCCAATGTCTCTCACTAAAGGACTCAGTCCCAGTCCCTCACAGTCCTGTGTGAGGCTGTGACAGGGGGGTGCGGACATGTGAGCAGAAGCCTGTGGTGAGAGACCTGGGAGCCTTCGTTGCCTGTAAGGCCGTGTGCAGGTGCCCATCTGCCAGGGGCTCGCTCAGCATGATTCAGGCTCCACAGAGACACGGAGGGACACACAGCTGCTGCCTGCACTGCATCCTGCGTGGGCCGGGTCCTGGGAAGAGCAGAGGGATCCTGTCTGCAGGGAAGCCCCTCCCTCCAGCATCCTCTCCAGGGAGTGGAATTGGAAAGGCCTGAGGACTCAGTAATCCCCTGCCCTCCCCTCAGCCAATGTCAACTTCAATTGCTCTTCCCATTAGTGACCCTGGGCCTCTCTCCTCTCCTATTGCATGGGCTGTCGTTTCAACACAGCACTACTCTCCGCACATCCTTGGTCGATGTGTTTAGGCTTTTGGGTTTGAGCTTCCGCTCCTATAAATATTGCTGACTTTACGTGGCCAGTGGCAGTTAGTGTGACCACTGCCCTCCCAGGAGGTACCTACAGAAGAGAAAGGCTTTGTCACTTCTGCAGGTGTTTATTGAACTGTTTGGACTTCATGGAACACTTACAGAGGAAAACACATTTTGTGGAATATTCTTAATCTTTCATGTTATTGCTTTGGACTTAAAATCAATGTAAATAATTGATTTTCTAAATATAAAAATGATTCTGATAGGAACGAATAGAATGTTACTGGTGTGTATTGGGACCGTATCATAGATTTTAAATGAAAAGTAAATCAATCAGAGTTTTAAAAATTCCTAATGAGCTCATTCATTGCCTTTTGCTGGTTTCTTTTGATAAACTTGGAGATGGTGGCAAATTATGAGTTTTTATTACTTGTTTTTATTTTTTTATTTTTTTTTTATTGATTTCAGAGTGGGAGGGAGAGGGAGAGAGAGATAGAAACATCAATGATGAGAGAGAATCATTGATCGGCTGCCTCCTGCTCAGGGATGGAGCCCGCAACCCCAACATGTGCCATTATCTGGAATCGAACCCGAGAGCCTTCAGTCCGCAAGCCGATGGTCTATCCACTGAGCCAAACCAGCTAGGGCCGTTTTTCTTTTTTTTTTCTTTCCTTTTTTTTTTTTCCCTTTCCAATCTATTTGTCTTTTATTTCTTTTATTATTATTATTATTATTAGTTAAGGTATTACAAATGTGTCTTCATCCCCCCCATTAACCCCCAACCTCCCCCCCCCCCCCCACACACACACACAAACTCATGCTCCCATCCCCCTGTTGTCCATGTCCATTGGTTTGGCTTATATACATGTATACAAGTCCTTCGGTTGATCTCTTCCCCTTACCCCCCGCCCTCCCCTACTTTCCTTCTGGGGATTGATAGCCTGATCGCTGTTTCTCAGTCTTTGGGTCTGTCCCTTTTCATCAGTCTATGTTGTTCTCTATAATCCACAAATGAGTGAGATCATGTGGTATTTATCTTTCTCTGACTGGCTTATTTCACTTAGCATAATTCTCTCCAGTTCCATCCATGCTGTTGCAAAAGGCAAGAGTTCCTTTTTTTTTAACCACAGCATAGTATTCCATCGTGTAGATGTACCACAGTTTTCTAATCCACTCATCTGCTGATGGGCACCTAGGCTGTTTTACTTCTTGAAGAAAGTGTTTTATTCCGCATTCACCAGAAGTCTCCCCACTTGTTTAGAGAGATTGAAGTCCATCCTTTACTTTTCTAGATTCTGGATCGAGAAGGAGGGGGTGGGGGAAGCAGGGAGTGAGGCAGGAGGGAAGGTGAACAGAGCAGAGTCTGGGGCAGTCACAGGAGGGGGAGGAAAAGGGGCGCAGGAGGGGAGAAAGCAGAGGGACTCCTGAGACCTGAGGGGAGGATGGAGCTGGGGCCCAGGAGGGAGCAGGTGACCCAGAGGGAGAGACAGGCCCAGGGAGAGAAGAGGAGGGGGGAGGGGAGGTTGGGGGAGAGTCGGAGGGAGTCACCTCACCCTGAGAATGTTCACCAAAGTCTTAGATAGGCTGCAACTGTTTAAATATATTCCTTTCCAGTACCGGAATGGTTGTAAGGGGTCATCCACAAAGATGTCCCAGCAGTAGGCAAAGTCTGAAAGGAACAGGGGAGAGCAAGGTGAGCTTCTGCTGCGGGAGCCCTGAGGGGACACACAGTGTGTGACTCTTAGGGACCACTCTTCCCATCATGATTTCAGACTCTTCTCTTTCCTTCCGGGACTCCATTGTCACTTCAGTCCCCTTTCTCCCTGTGAATCTGAGTCACGCCTCCACGCTCCCTTCTGGAAGCCTCCTTCTTGCACGTGTCCTTCACCTCCCTCCCCAGCCTGGACCACCTCTCTCCCCTGAACTTCTCCTCCAGGAGACTCCCCGACTCCAGCACCACCTCCGCAGGCACCTAAGGGGCGTCTCTTTCCTCTCTGGGGATTCTAGGTCTTTCCTGGCTGGTCCTAGTCCCCCCACACCTCTGCCCCGGCGCCCTCTGCTCTCACCAGCTGGAGTCATTATGGCCACCTGGGCCCCTGCGCCTTGCAGGCTGCGCAGCCCCTGCTGGTACTGGGGGCGACTGGAGTAGTACAGGCGGGCAACGAAGATGCTCAGCTGCACGTACTTGTGGTCCTTCAGGAACGTGACCACCTGCCTGGCACATTGGAAGCAGGGGCTCCAGGACATGAACCACGTGACATGGTATTTCTCCTCACGGGACAGGTTCTGGGCCAAGAATGCTTGCTGGGTCTTGAACCAATTCAAGAAGCAGATTTCTGTGTGGACAGGCTTCTTGGGATAGAACTGGGAGAGACGGAGAGGGGAAGGGGGCCCTCTGGGCTGGCCGAGCAGGCATGTTGCAGGGCTGGAGGAGTGGGGACCAGGGGACAGGGAGCCAGAGTCTCAGAAGCATGTTATTGATTGATTCCTCTTTAAACGTCTCCCCTCCAGGCTGTATTAGTTTAGTCATCCCTTCCCACCCTCATCCATAAACTCCAACACCCACCCTCCCATTCTTTCATTCTATGAGCATTCGGGGTGCCTGGTCCAGGCCAGGCCGCTGGGTCTAGGCTTGTTCCCTGGGTGCTGTCTGCCGGGGAGGGCCCAGAGCCGTGCTGCCCAGAGGGACCCACTAGCACAGGTGTCTACTGTGATTTTGAAATGCGGCTCGCCTGCACTGATGTGTGTGACAAATACGGAATACACTCCTTATCTCCATGACGTGGTTTGAAAGAAGAATGTAAACTATCTCATGAGACCTTTTATATTAACGATATGTTGAAGCAATATCTTCGATATATCACAAAGTATGTTATCAACATTAAATTGATCAATTTCTCTGAAAGTTTGAACACTGGGTACTAGAAAAGGTTAAATGACCTAATTGTGTCCTGGGAAACATGCTGACTTTCAGCCCCTCCATCCTGCTCCCACAGGTAGGACTGCCATGGTGACACCCCATCCACCCCATAAGGGCTCTGAGTAGTCTGCTGTCCGGATGGGGGAATGGAGGGCTGTTGTGTGGTGGACACTTCACAGAAGACCTTAGTGTTTGACTGCAGGGCAGGGGTTTGCTCTGTGTCTGCTGAGGCTGCCGTCCTCACCCAGGTGTACCTGGCAATTCAGGAGGGTCAAGCAGGGGCATCCAGGGCTAAAACATAGGACAGTGTTATGGGAAGAAGCTTCTGGCATTTTACATATTATCATTTCCCCACATCCTTCCCTGGCTTAGCTCCTGCCTCTGATGACAGCATCATGGGACACATACCTCATTTTCAAAAACCCCGGTGCCCATGTCCAAGGAAAAGCCCTTCTCTGTTCTTTTCACTTGGTAGCAGAGGTAGCAGCCATTGCGACCTTTGGGGTTAGGCCAGTTTGTAAAGTGAAAGTAGAAATACTCAAGACTTAACCATCTCATTGGGTTCCTGGGGGCAGGAGAGAAAAGAGAAAATGCAGGGTTCCCTCAAGATTCTCCCATCTGGTGGCCTGGGTGCCCTGCCACCCAGCACCCCTTCCCTTCAGCATTTCCTGCCACCTCAAGGCAGGAAGCTGGGAAAGAGGGGGAGAGCAGGGCTGCAGGGACAGCAGGGGCTCCTGTCCTCTCCCTTAGGGCCTGGCTCTGCTGCTTCCAACAACACACGCCCAACCCATCACCCCCAATCATTTGAATACAGAAATGAGTAATAAAACTGCCTTAATCCCCCAAATGTTAGATTTTCATATTAAGGTGCAATTCATGACTGACCTTTCACCTATGCATGTTTATTATTATTATTTAATGTCAGGCTAACACCTAAATTCACAGGCTCCAGCTACTGTTCTAAGAGCTCCTGTATCTGAACTCCTCTATTCCTCCCCAATCCAGGGGCCTCACCCCATTTTACAGAGGAGGGAACGGGACACAGAGAGGGGAGTAGCCTGTCCAAGTCACAGGGCTGCTGAGTGACAGAGCTGGTCCCTTGCCCAGGCAAAGCCATGTCCAGCCCTTGCATGACGTCAGCTGGCAGCGGGGACCTATTGGTTGAGAGGCTCTTTTCTCCCTCATTGTAAACAGCGTGTCCCCCACCGGTTGGTGCACTATAAACGCGAGGGCGGGGATGCCTCTGGGCACAGCCTGACTTTGCTCTTCTGCTCACAGGCACCTTGGGAGAGAGGATTCCTCTTCCTGCTCAGCGAGCTCCTCTCACTCTGAGTGGATAACGCGGTCAGTAGCACAGAAAGTGGATCCAAGTGCTTCAAACCAAATGCCCCCAGTGCTCCACTCATCCTTTAGTGCAAGTCTCATGGCCAAGAGGGCACAGGAAAGGCCACAGAGCAGCAGCCCCGCGGGCAGGGAGGGGGACA